TTCGGGGTCAGAGGAATAAGCCCAATTATTTCACTGTGTTTACCGTTTGATACCCAGATGCATGTTCTGAACGTGAAGGCTGAACATACTTACGGGTAGCTTTCTGGTCTCTTCTAGTGTAAACGGAAGGTATATTTGTCGGAAGCGATTCTTAACTACCTCGCATATACTTCGCTGTCCATTGAATGCAGGCTTTTGGCCGAATTAATTCGTAGAACACAATCTTCATAGGCGAAAAAACACCACATACGCATGCATATATAGTTCCACGTAAATAAAGAAGGTATGTGCCAAATCGGTGCTGCAGAAGCAAGGAATCTCCCCCATGTATCCACCTGTCTCTCAAGAACGCCAAGGTCGCTTTTGGTCCGCGATTTATGCTCCACCAGACACCTGGGGGCGCGTCACGTTGCCTCGCGACTAAACGTGATTGCCTCTGTGAGGGTTTACATCGGTGTAAAGATTAAAGGACAAAGTTCTCAGCGTTGATCAATGTTGAGGGATGCGCCATGCATCTGACTTCATTAGGCATCGTCAGTGGTGATTGAATGCATATCTGGCCTATATTCGCGGTACCCAACTGTGTATCTCGTCAGTTCACCTATCCTCCCAGACATGTCTAGTACCAATATGCTAAACCCGAAGGAATGGAAGGCTTAGTGAGCCTGGGGCTCGAGATCGACCTCATGTATATTACAGGGTACTTCGTGCCATGATATAAAACTGATAGCGGAAAAGTCCTATACCAATCATCGTTCCTCCACAATCGCTGTCACCGATCCTATAATCTCTGGTGGTGAAAAGCCTTCGTGGATTCTACACTCTAAAGTTTGAGTTGCGATGGAAAGTGTGGAGAGAGGCAGAGCTCCAGAATTCGAAAATATCACCGCCGATTTCTTAGGAGCCGGAGGCCACAAATACTTTTCGCAACCCACACGACATCTTACCCTCAGAAAGGAAAAGTGTCAAACCAGTGGACAACTTCGCACAAGGCGATCCTACACTAGGATGGCCAAGGAATCTTCGTAACTAGCGAACTAGCCCCAATGTACTTGTAGATTGTACTCCACATGCTGTTCACGGTTGACAAGCAAAATTCTGAGAAGCATTCTGCTGCGTGGACCACATGGAAACCGTATCAAGGATGATAGAAATACTATTTTGTCCCCAGTTCTAATTTCTGTCGTCTAGGAAAAAGTATTTGACAATATCGAAAAGAATACAATTCTATCAGTGCTCGTAGATCAAAGGGTGGACCGTCCAACTGAAGAACTCTATCTGACTGCTATCGGAAATGCTCCACGAAAATATAGAGCTTCCACTGACTTCTTACCATACGCATAGGAAAAGACGGCAGGGTGACACCATATCGCCAAAGCTGTTTACTGCCATACTGTAATGATAACGAATTCACTCAATTAGGATGAGAAATGAATACGTACTTTTGAAAAATTCCCATGATCTTAACTTCGCAGACAACACTGCCATCTTTTAAGAAATGTTATCAAAGAAGAGTCATTGCTAAATGAGCTCAACGAAGTAGGCAAAAAGACCACACCGCGCATAGATGGATAAGACGTGGTCTCAGACGAGTGATAAGACAAAGAAACTATGGTGTGACGGTGAACAAATGGAACTACATGATTCTCCAACTGCAAAGAACACCTGAAAAGTGTATCTTGGACGTTCCATGAACATGAAGAGGAACATTAAGGAGTAACTGGACACAAGAACGAGGAGCGCATAGGCCGCATTCGAGCCTCAGAGGCCACCGACCAGCTTGCGTACCCGAAATTTCTCGCTAATCTTTCTGACTTAGTCGTCTTACTGGCACTTTGTTATGCAGCACAGATTTGGGCTAATTTTTCAACCATGTCGAGAATTCGCTGCACCGCCCACAGAGCGTTGACGTCAATGCAGAATGAGTAGCTCAGGCCTTGAAAACCTATCTCATCTTCCCGATGAAAGAGAATATACATCGAAGGTGAAGATGGCCGGTAATGCAGTGAAACGAACAGATGACAGACGGAAAGAAGGAAGATTGGAGGAGACTCCGAGATAATGCAAGCATTCACCACCCAGTCGATGGTGTGGACGTATTCGTGGCTAACTACCTGCCTTTGCAGATGAAAGCGATTTCAGTAATACGGAGTGGACCTCGCGAACGTCACCGAGTTCGTAGCGAGACACCACCATGAATGACACTAGAGCAAGGCTGGAAGGAATGGATGATCTTTTGAGGCGCGCACCAAGCGTTGAACGGTTATCCACGTATCTATTATGTATCTCTTCAGCTGAGGTGCTTGTAGCACAGTGGTTAGATATGAGGCGCTCCACATTACAAACATGGTCTGTGGTTCAATCCCTCATTCCGGGCTCACGAAGCCTTCCATCGTTGCGGAATCGACAATTTGCTGCAAGACTTCTGTGGAAGGATAGCAGTACTGACCTGGTATGTCGGAAGGCCACCGTTAGTTGCCATAAGTCGGATATGCAGTCAGTCACCTTTAGTATCGCTTGATAAAGTGGAATGCGTGGATTTTAAGGCACATCCCTCAAAAATTAATCAATGCAGAATACTTTCTGCTTTGTCTTTCGGTTTCGCCTACTGCGCTGTCAACTCTATCGGTTCGAAATATTACCAAGAACTCTTCTGCACAGTTGGGATAAGTACACTGGTTTCTCGTTAGCAAAAATGGGTAGATTCTAATGCTTTTTACTTTCATCAGCAAAGCCATGGGAGCGTGTGGCGCAGTGGTTGGTGGCGCCCTGCAACACACAGGTGGAATCGATTCTCACGCCCACGGAGCCTTCCATTCATCCGGGGTCAGCAAATTGGTACCAGACTTATCTGGAAGGATAGGGGCACTGGCTCGACATATCGGTAGGTTACAGCGAGTCATTGTAAAGGCCAGATATACATTCAATTACCTCCAAACGATGCTTAATGAAGTCGAATGCATGGCTCATCCTTCAGGGATTGATCGACGCCGAGAGCTTTATCCTTTATTCTTTATCAAGTGAAGCTTTTCCTGAGCAGGAAGATTCCCCTCTAAAAGATGCAGGTTAAATTCGTTCATCCATTTTCGAAAAGTTTAGTACAAATAGATGTATAGGAAACAGTTTATCCCGAACGTCGAATTTTCGACATCGATCGCTTTTTTCGATTGGGGACAATTTCGTTGTGACAGAGTGGTGAGGTACCAATGAAGCAGGTGATAACAGCGAAATCGCTAGAATCGGCATTTATCAGTAGCGTTTCGAACATCTACCAGATTTCTTACACTGATATTATTTCTATAGTTACTCGTCCTAATTATTACTTATTTCAGCTGATTTCTGGTACTTTTTCTCGATAAATTCCTCATCTTCGACCAACAAGAATGAATGTGAGATATGACTAATGCTGTTAAATGCTAGAGATTTTCTCCCTTTTTGAGAAATCTTGTTGCAGTTCATTCGCAATGACGTGAAGCGCTGTCTCGATAGTTCTTTTTTCACAAAGAAAAAGAAAGGCGAGAAAAAACTTGCGATGATTTATTCGGTATGAAGCTTTTGTGATATGAGGAGCTCCGGATTCAAAGTGGATGCATCGACACTTGCATGGCCTGTCTTCCTTGGTAATGAAGGTTGTCCCATCATCGAATACAGGTGGTTCACGTTAGGCGTCCAAGCTATCGAGATTTGATATGATGTCGAAGTCGAATTGCTCTGTATTTATCGCCTGAAATGTCTAACATGCACCAAAGAGTGTTCGAGTTTAGAACAAGGTTAACATCTGTATTCAGAAGGCAGGAGAACGCAAGCCAACGTTGTTGTCAACTTGGTACAAGTCCATTCATAAGATGATAGATTTGCAACAGTTCCACGGTAGTCAGAAACTGGTTTTGGTGACGACCTAAGAACTGCAATGTCTTGATTCCAGGAAGTAAGGGGAATTTTTCCAATGGGCAATGCACCTGTTTGAGAAATTTCCAGACTAGGTGATCAAAGTTTAATTTTCAATCCTGCAGCTCACCTTGAGATTCTACGGACTTTCCCGATTACTGCAAATATGATGATCGCAGTCGGAATACATTTCTGCTAGAATGATAACCCCATTAAACTTAGTGGTTAGGCACATAAAATAATTATAGAATAAAAACAAAAATAGAAAAGACTAGAGGATAAGACTACCTCTATCTTACTGAACCACCAGAAGCACGCCGAAGACGATTAAAGCGCTCGATTATCGTCTGATAACAAATGAGCAAAACATTGCCATGGTAAGCAAGCACTGCGGGTGAAATAGCCTATTCATCGGAAAGCGGACATCGTCTTCGGAGTTTTACTTTGGAAGAAATAGCGTAGTTTATTTGAGTATTCACTGGTCCTTTCCTTGTTCGCAAATCTCTTCACTTCTTATTCTTACAGTAACCCTAACCTAATTACCTAGAATAAAATTTCATCGGTTTTATTTGTAAATGTAACCGATCACACATTTTTACAATCGACCGACGGTACTCGAAATCGACTGATGTCAGCGATTTCAACACTGAGAAATTGTCTTCACGACCATAAGACGTTCGGCGCTATCGAACGATAGTGCAACAGAGTTCGACTGTGTTCGAAAGGAACATGTCTGAGAGACAACAACATCGTTGTGCACTCCGCTTTCCGTGCCATCGTGTTATTCACCACACCCTCAGAGCTGGTTCATCGTTAGATGTCGTACGACTACTTTTTACTCAAACCATAGACGCGCTTCTCCACGATCGTCCATTAGTCAGTAGAGTGCTCCTGTGGCTCGGGAAAGTCTGATGAGTGTAGTGCGCAGAATCTGCAAAGTAAATCCAAGTCGTAACCAGCGTTTAGCTAATGGGTTTGACTACCCAGGCACTTGTGATGGGTGTTAAGGAGCGGTCTCACTCCGGCGGTGGCAACAATGGTTACGCCCATTCGAGTGCTACGGCATCACTGGAGTCGTGTTCGTGTTGTATTCGACAAATTGGCTTTGCAGTATGACCCGTCTAGATAACATTACCGGTTTCGTCCATCCAAAATACGCAAAGATCGAGAAGATTTTCAAGTAAGTGGACATTATTCTTGCCATTTTCCCCATTTTTCGTCTCCTTTCACCTTTCCTTCGGCATTTCACCTGTGCACCTTATTTGGTTCGTCTACAACTTCACTCTTTCTGCATGTTTCTTCTTTTTAAAACATAATTTCAAATGATGACACTCCTGAGAGCTACAGTCCGTCGGTTCTACAAGTATCGTTTTCGCTGGAGATGTTTCACAGCTGATTTGATTGTACACGTTCTGCTAAGTAGTGCTAGCACCTTTAAATTGCTTGTTCACGGAAAATTTTAAGACCATGAAAATATAGGACGGTCTATCAAAGGTGTTTCGATCATCTTTGTGGGAAATAAACGCAGATCGAGCTTTTTCTATAATTCAGTCACATTTTTGTCTATTTAAGTCTTGCAATGAAGCCTTCTCTGATTTCTCTGAGCACTATGGATCCTTTATACCTCCGTGGTCAGTGCGATTTTTAATTTGGGTGGTGCTTGCAACTTCCTTTTCCTTTCATCTTTTCGTCACCGGTTCGACGCGATAGAAACAAGCCGAGGCTATGTCATACCGGTTGCTCATTTGGAGAACCTGACCTCAAGTTCTTCACTAAATGATGGAACACACCATTATCGAAAAAAAGTTTGCGGCATCAAGAACTGCTTATAGTCAATCAAAATTCACAGTATTACTAGCGGCAGAATCGTTGTGATTCATAAATACTCAAACAAAAATCGGTGAATGTTGATTCTAAACACCACTACTTTTACTGCATTTGCTATACAATAAGGTTTGTCAGGAGCACGGTGCTGAATCACAGAAGTTCACTCTTATCGGAAAGGAATCGGCTATTCCTCCTAACAACATAGTCGTCATAGACACAGGTGGAGCACTCACGTAGCAGTCACCCGTATACACGTAGCTTTGAACAGTAGAGACTCTATTGAAGTAACCTAAAGCCATGAACGAATCAAAAAACTAGACAGGTGTTCTGATCTGCACACAGGTGATGTGCTCTAGCTGAAATGGTACCGTTTTAAGACAGACCATCTAATTAACTTAATAAAGCTCAATAATGACTGCTAGCAACAACGGCGACCTGAGACCTAATAAAGAGGACCCAGTGTTACACTCTTTTCTGTACCCGGGGACCCGTCTTGTAATGTTTTATGGCGTTTGCGTACACTTTCTATATATGTCAATTACTTTTGCTTTCCGTTAAATCAAAGGATCCAATCGTTTCATAGTGAGATGAAGCGCAATCCGGTACTTTTACTCCTGCCTACATGCAGCAGTAGTAACCAAAAAACCGGTTCATGTTACATTTCACCAAATGTATGAATGATAAAGTGTCTTAAGTGACGAAAAAATGATATAAAAACTATAAGAAAGCGTTTTTTGTGAAAAATTTATGTAAGAGTCGAGATTCAAGAGTCATTTAGAAAAAACTTCCACGATGGATGGGAGCGAGAAGGGGCCGCGATTGCTGTGTATCACAAGGGCGAGCTGATAGTGGATCTACAGGTCATTTGCCACTTGAATCATTTTTCTTCGGTGTATTATAAACATTTTCAGTCTTTATTTATTACCCAATAACCAATCAGAGAAAAATTACTATGTAAGGTTTTTATCTTTTTACAGGACTCATTGAGAACGTCCTTTAAAAAATCGATATTAGGAGGATAAAAATGTAAAAGATGCCGCAAATCTGCTAATATACTTAAACATATTAAGTTTTTCCACTTTGCGAAAGTTTTCTTTTAAAGGGTGGTTACGCAGACAAGTCGTCGGGAAGGAAATGGACACCGGAGACAAGAACCGTTGTGTTCAGCGCAACAAAGGTTGGTTACTACGCTGCTAATGTTTGAACTGAAAAATTCCCTCTCTGGAAGATTCCCTAAAGTACTCCTTTTTTCTTGCATTGTTGTTTTTAACGACTAGTAGTGGTCCACAACTTTTTAGCAGAAGATAAAATTTTTAATCCACAGAAGAAAGTGTGGCACAGTATTGATTTGAATATTTATCTGCATCATCTGTTACCCCGTTAGTCACTGAGTCACCCCTTTTCATCAAGCTTCTCAGGTGGTATCGCTAATTCGAAGGCTACCATGAGCATCATGTTTTACCGTTGTACCATTTCTCACTGCTTCTGGAGAAATTGTAGCCACGGTGTAACTCGCCGCCATAATTTACTCCTAGTGGACTTCTATGAAATACTAAACCCCGTTTCTGCTCGTTTGGCATTTCTAAGAAATAAACTCTCGTTATACCTCGTAGTTCAACATCCTGGAACATCTTCTTCTTCATCTTTCGATATGATTTTGCTGTCAGCTAGTATTGCCATTAAAATTATCGAACTTCTCAGTTTCTGTCACTCAGTCACGACATGAATCCTTGAATGAATGTGGCTGCTTGACACTCTGCTTTTCTATACTGTTATTATTTGTAATATTTGAAATAGAAATCGCTTGTTTAGCAGTGGTAGTGATGATATTTAAGGAAGAGGAGAGCCCCTTTTCGATCCTAGCTCACCAAGCCTGTCATCACTTTAGGGTCAGGAAATTCGTACCAGATTCGTTTAAGTCACGTGGCTACCACCTGCTCACAAAAGATGGCGTCTGTCTGTGATGAAGATCTAGAAAAAGCACTGCTATTCCAATATTCAACGAAATTCATAACGAATGCCAAAAACCCTCAAGTAGCGACCAAAATCACACTTCCAATGCGTTGAACTTCGTGGAATATGGATTCCAGAAAGCTAGTCGAATTTAAGAATTGCTAGGACACACATAACATATGACGTTAGGCCGTGTGGAAAAAGATATTTTCAGCACTTGTAGCTGAGTTGTTGCTATTATTGGTATAGGTCACTCAAAGCCTTTTAAAAAACATCGAGGTATCGCTCTATGGAAGGTTGTATGTTTCCTATAATCTAAAAGGCTTGTTAGACACAAGAACATTGGTATTTAGGCAGTAGGCGCTTTGTGCGTGGCAATGTTGGTTGACCGAGGTCACGTATCCTACGAGGACAAAATGAGTAAATTCTGGCCCGAATTCGCCCAACATGGAAAGGAACACATCACTATTAAGTGGTTGATGAGTCATCAGGTTAGTAAAACATTTTATTAATTCAGGCATCCCGCATTTGCTTGAACTCTGTTTATCGTATGTAATGTTGAGATATTTGCAAAACTCCGGACCGCAGGTGTATGCGGTGGGGAACGAACGCGCCATTGTCCTTTCCGGGGAGTAGCGCATTTCTGTTCATCGTCTATTTTGTTTTGTTCTCTCACTCTGTGTTACTGTGCGGATCCAATATTGTACATTTGAAGGCCTTTTTCGTACGTTCATTGACTTAAGGAAGTATTCGTAAAAAGTTCCATCTGCGATTGCGATTGCAGTTTTAATGGTTTAAAATTCCTGTTCTTAACATCTACTCCACAGCCTGCACGTCGCCTTTGCCACGATATGATGATAGATCTACCGCAAGTTAGTACCATAATTTCCAACGCCACGCGTAACAGTGTGAAATAAACACTCCCAAAAGTGGAACTGGAAAAGGATAAAGCGTTCAGTGCTAACCTGCTCCGTGGAGATGCGCCATGCATTCGAATCCGTTAGGCGATGATGATTGAAAGAAAGTACGCCCGATCCGTATGATGACTTCCCGGTGCTTCGCGTCCTATGAATTCGGTGTTTTTATATTCCGAGAAAACTCTGGTACCAATTTACCTATCCCAGTTGAAGGCACGAACTGCCCGCGATGAGGAATCGATCTGCGGAAGTTGTTTGCATTGTGTTTCATCCTTACCGAACCGCTACATGCGCCAACAGAAATGGAAGTTGGAGAAAAAACCGAACCGAAAAATGACGGTCTGCAATAACACATCGATCCAGGTTTGCTGATAACGTGATTTCCAATCACCGCAATGACTAGTCGGATCAGAACAGCGTTATTTCCAAATGTTAACTTAAAAAAACTTTTTTAAATAATGAGCCTTAATCAGCATCGACGGCAAGGAAGGTCCAGAAAAGAGAAACTGATTCGGAAAAGGGCAAACGGGACCAGCTTCCATCGTTAACTTGGAAACGTCCTAGAAAAAGGCGCTAGCTTCCACTCCGATTATGAAAGGATCCAGAAAAGGACAAATTTGATCCAATTTCGATTGTGATGATTCGGAATAAAGTTGATGCCAACTATATTAACAATGAATGTGAACTGTTACGATAAGCGGGTGATTTTTTGACAAAGAGAATTTTCACCTGAAATAATGCTACTCGTGTTTTAATGTTCACGCTAAATGAATGAGTCCGTAGATGAGAAATGTAGGGAGCTACTTGTATGTCAAAGAGCGGTTTGTTCAACCCGAAAAATATCCACATCACTTTCATTTCTTCGACGACACTCTTGGTCCCTGGTTGGAGTACTGGGAACGGCACAAACAGGAAAGCAATAGAGGCACTATAGCGGGGATGACAAGATGAGCTGACCAGTTCATACTAGTAAGCGACTGCACTCTGATCACGGAAATTCCTCGGCATCAAGCAGTTAGGGTGCCCGATGTCATCGATTTCATGAAATGAATACTTCCATACTATGCAAAGCTCCACTACCAAAATCTTTATACATAAGGCGTTTTTTACTTTAGAGGTCTAAAGTAAACTTACAGTATTCTTCCGTCAACTTTCCCACCTTTGCTGTAGGTGCTTTTAATTTTTAAATTCACTCACAATAAGAGCACGGCGCTAAAACTGTAACTTTAACAAAGTGCCGCTATGAAAGAAAAAAACGTGACAAAAGCCGAAACCTTTGATTCATGCTTCTATAGATGGTGGCTAAAAAATCTAGTGAAGCAGCTTAGATATTTTGCTAGACCACATTTTTCGCGCTTTCCTATCCGTTCTCGTTAGTTTCACGATGATATCTTCGTCACAGGCAGGACTCGCAGCTTTGGACGAGCCGATTTCGCGTGAAGATGCAAAGAATTTCGAAAAAATGGCGTACATCATTGCAAAGCAGAAACCGAACTGGGAACCGGGCACGAAAAGCGGGTACGGTCATCGAATTTCTAAGTCATCCAGGAATATCTAACACTCATTCCTAGACGATGCTATTGATAGTTATTGAGAAAAACGCTTATAAATGATTTATCCACTAACGATGAGTAACGTTTGTCGCCTATCCATTTGTAACTATGCATTTCCAAAACAATAGCTTTATTTAGTAAGAAACAAAATGTGTGTAATTAAAGGTACTTACTCATCTACGCAAGAAGATCAGCACAGGTCTTCCCACGCTATGTCTTCCCAGGAAATGAGAAACTGCTTCTTCTTATTCTTGCATATTCACTTATAAGTCCCATCTGGTACACCGTATGATGTGAAGCCTTAGATAATGTGGTTCTCATTTTCTTTCACAAAATTTATATTTTCCTAATAAGCCTAGCCATCTCTTTCTTTCCATGCTGGCCCTCAGTTACCGCTGAAGGCGATGATTCCATGTTTTATGTTTCATTTCCAGTTCAGGGAAAAAGCGAACTAATCAAAAACTACAGTAAATTATTGACCTGAACATTATTTTGGCTTGTGTATTGTTTACTAACAGCACAAATAGTGTGAAACTCGTCTCCAAAAGGAAAATTCACTTTCATGTCTGAGTAAATTTCAGGTACCATGCAGTAACATATGGATGGATTGTGGATCAAATCGTCCGCAGGGTGGATCCGCGAAGAAGATCCGTTGGACAGTTTTTTAGAGAAGAAGTAGCCATTAAATACGGTTAGCTATTAAAGTGACTAACAGACAAGCCTAAGCAAGAACAATGTGTTGCGATAGATGACACCTCATAATGAGTAAAATTCTTCAATCACTCCTTCCTTCCTTTAGCTGTGCAGGTGTCATGGACACCAGATTCGAGCCCGGAACCGGGGCCTCGTGTTAACCACTGCTTCACCGAGGCACTTATTTTGCTTTTCTCTTAGCCAAATTTCTTCCCTAACGGCGCCATCAAGAATCTGGTCCGAGGTCCAAGTTTTTACAGATATCTCATCACCCTTGTGGTTGCATTTCACGTAATACCCTGCTGTGAAAAAACAATAGACAGTAAATAAAAAGTTGAACACTGTTTCCAGATTCTTCCGGTGGCTTGTCGGCTTGAAATGCGTAGTGTTAATCTATTAAAATAAGATTTAGGTGTATCCATGAAAAAACCCTGTGAGGGCATTGGAAAACTTTTCTGAACAGCGTGAATTTTTTACCAGTCAAGAATCAAATCAGTGAAGTGATATTTTTCTTGTACTCAGGAACGTTCTAAATATTAGCGATTATCTATATAAAAACTAGGTTTTTAGGGAAATCTCTACTTCTTTTTTTATTTTGCCTTTAATCTAATCTCGTAAATGTGGGCAGACTAAGTGACGTCGATTCCAGGAATCGATTTCCACATTGGTCTTCCTAGTTCCGAAGAGCATACCGTTTCACGCCTTTCACTGCCATCCACTGCGCATGTTCTCAAGGAGATCATTCACGATCCAAGGTGATTAGGGCTATGTTAGTCTCAAGATTACTTCTAGGCTTAGTTTAATGGTAAGGCTTTTGTTTTATCCCAAATTTAACCCACCCAACCGAAGTACTTTACACAGGTAACAACAGATATCTGAATTTCAATAACGTATACTACTCAAGAAAAGTAGTTTTCGTCACTCATGTTTTCTACATAATTACTTGACGGATTTTTTTTCTTGGAGGAAGTTTCAATGTAGAAAAGGGTGTCACAAGCAAGTCTATTCTCATTAACTATTCAGTACTACAATTACTCACGCACTCTGTTAATTACTGAGTACTACGATTTGATACCAGTAAAACTCCGTTTTCCACAAACTGATATCAGTGTAGCTTCGGTCGCTCTAGGAATACGAATACTATCACTTTTGTTATACCTTTTTTATTTTCTGCCTACTATAATTTCGCGGCAGGGTACTAAGCGAAATACAACCACAACGTTGCTGAGATAATTGCAAAACTCTGGACCGTAGGTGTCTATGGTGGGGAACGAACGCGCTATTGATCTTTCCGGGGAGTAACGCGTTCACCACCACACCATGCGGGTCCTTTGTTTCGTCTGTCTCTAAGCTATTTCTATCGATCTTTTGCCACAGCAATCACCCGTCAGAAAATAAAAGGGTATAACATTGTGATTTCAACTACAGCCGTAGCTTAACTGGGTTCTATGCCGATTAGGGCGCCCCAAATCAATCCCGCTGACGGGTGATTGCTGTGGCAAAGGATCGATAGAAATAGCTGAGAGATAGGCGAAACAAAGGACCCGCATGGTGTGGTGGTGAACACGTTACTCCCCGGAAAGGACTATAGCGCATTCATTCCCCACCATAGACACCTGCGGTCCAGAGTTTTGCAAATATCTCAGCAACGTTGTGGTTGTATTATCACTTTTGATGCGAGGCATTTCTCTTTAGTATTATTGTCGCGGTAAAGGTTTCCTATTGGCCGCGCCTTCATGTGGAAATTACGAATCGCATTGATGGAAGACTACGAGAAAAAGGGACGTGGGATCGAACCAGCTACCGATCCAGTATATATCGCAGGGTATCCCTAACTACTGTGCTAACTGCTTCATTTTATTCCTCTTCAGGCATAATTATTTAGGAATTAATAGGGTGTCGAATGAATCAAGCGTGCACCACCGTAGTGTCCACAATCCATTGTCGCGCGTTACATTAAACCAGTGGGCTCTGATCTCTCATTCCTGGTGGATGGGCTCCTTCATGCTTTCGCCTGGTATGCTCATGAAGAAGCCTTATTATCAAAGAGGTGGTTGCACGTTCAACATGCCATGGAACTAAAACCCTAAGAGCTCTTGTTCATAATCAAGACGCACCACGTTTTTTATTCTCTTCGCTCACTGGTCGGAACAACGATGCAGTTATACCCGTGTCATCATTATCTCGGTAGCGCGTTTGATAATGCCAATTGCCTAATGAACATGTCTAGCTGGCGATCATTGTTTCATGTCGTATGGTAAGCCATGAAGGACTGAGGAGTCGGACGTAGTGTTGCTTGTTCTTTCTCTTCCTCATTGCATGAAAGACATTCTTGTAGATTTCTTAAGGCACTCGTTTTCTTCTATTCGACTCTGGAACAAAGACATTCATTATATTTCAATTCCTTTTTCACATTTCCTGAACCACGATATAACTGAAATATTAGGAACAAATCCGTTCTTCACACCTGCCGTTTTTCAACGCCATCCAGAGACCACCTCTCCATATGTGATGGAGAACCCGCTCCAACTCCGTGTTGCCTGCTATCATAAGAAAACTTTCAACGAAACGCTTTTTTTTCGCACATTCTCAACAGTAGTGGTGAATAACTTTGGTGATATGGTGTCACCCTTTCGGAATTCGATATGGTTGAAAATTTCCTTGTAGGACCTCGTTTCTCAATATGAAATCTTCATAACAATTTTCAAATCCTTAGCATTTTCACACTATTGTAACGGTTATAGATCAACCGACGTATTCCCTGTCGATGTTATTTACGACTGTATCTTATAAAAGAGGGCGCGTGTGGCGCAATTGTCGGAGGTGACCTGCAACACACACGTGGAATCGATCCCCGCGCCCATGGCCCACCAAGCCTTTCATCCCTCCGGGATCGGCAAATTGGTGCCAGACTTATCTAGGAGGATACCAGCACTGGCTCGATACATCGTAGGCCACCGTGAGAATCAAGTAAAGGGCAGATATGCATTCAATCACCTCCAAACGATGCTTGATGAAGTTTGATGCATGGCGCATCTATCAGGGATTGATCAACGCCGAGAGCTTTGTCCTTTTTTTATCCTTTTATCTTATAAAAGTAGGGTACAGAAATAAATATGGCTCAAATTTATCACGGATTTAGGCTTGTAGCCCTTAAATTTTGCAGCTTTTTCTCTTTTCAGGAAAAAAATCCCGTACGAATGAGGCGATCGTTCAGCCTGCGTAGAACTGTGGGTCAACATCAACATTGGTTAAACAAAGCTTTCGATTTGTTATGATGTGATCCATTTCATAACGATAGTCCCCCGTGGAAGACCTAGTCGTCTAGCGTTGATAAACGACTTCTGGGCTGGAATTGTGAATTTTAATGAATAGCCTTAGTTGATTAGCTATTATGATAAACTAAAACAGCTTTCCGTTCGTTCTACTCCAGTTCGAAGACTTCAGTTAGAAAATCTTCAGATGTTCCCTTGACGTTTTCAGATATTATCGTCTAGGTGATGCTGTCCTCTTGGTCTCCAAGGATGACTTTCTACAGAGTATTTCTTGCAGAATTTTGTTAGGTGTCACTTCATTTTCATCGTAGCTTGATGTGGGAGTGAAGACGAAAGAGCTTGTCAAGCCCAGAAATTGTCGTAAGAGTGCGCGTAGTCAAAACAATTGCTAATAATGTAGAAATAAAGACGAATATGTGAAAAGAGAACGGGGAAGACGATCGTTCATTTCTCGTAGAGTGCGAGAAGAGTAGTAATTCAAGCTCAATCAAACATCGTGTAAGAGCCACTATACAGAACATATTTCTTAAAAAATGTTTGCGAACAAATAATGCTCCCATAAGTCATACCCAATAATCTCCCATCCAGGAGTAGCTAATAACAGATCAGAATGAATTCTTCTAATTTTCCAGAGTGTTGTTCGTGCTCGGTGTAATTCATCTTCGTTCTCCTACGTCGATTGCGAGGAAGGTTAAGAAGAATACACAGTGGCTCAAGCTAGATCAGGTTGAGTCACATTTCCATTTCGAGACCCTGTGAACATAGTTAAAACTCGGATTCGTTTGAGAATTTGAACACCTTTAACGATCCTGAACTACACACCATGGAACAGGTTGCAGCGCTCGGTATCACAAAGGCACGAGACTTGGCTCGACTCTTCTCACTAATGCTTAGCGGAGAACTGTTCAGTAAGGTACTTGCATACCATAGAAATATACCGACTATTATACCCTGCAGTGAAAAATTGTAATAAGCAATAAATAAAAAGCCAAAATTGTGATTCCGAATACAACTCGGCTTAACTGAGATCACTACCGATTTGGGCTCACCAGATCAATCCCGCTGACGGGTGAATGCTGATGGCATTGATGGATAGAAAAATAGCTGAGAGACAGGCGAAACGAAGGACCCACATGATGTGGTGGCGAACGCGTTAGCCCCGGCAAGGGTAATAGCGCGCTCGTTCCCCAGGCAAATGTCTCAGGCACCCTTGTGGTTGTATCACACATATTACCCTGTCGTGAAAAATTGTAACAGCTTGTAAATAAAAAAGCCAAAAATTATACCGACTATGTTTGGTCACATCTCAACATTGCTGTAGCTGTATTTCACATAATACCGTGCCCTGGAAAAAAATTGAAGAGGCAGTGAATAAAAACTGAGCATTGTAATATCGACTGCAGCTTCAGCTTAACAGGGTACACCTTTTTTGCTACCAAGGTCAATCCCGTTGACGGGTGATTGCCGATAGCACCGTTAGGGCAAGAAACTGAGTGAGAAAAAGCAAAACTAAGGCCTATATGGTCGACAACACGTGAGAGGCCAGGAAAGGATAATCGTGGGTTCCAAGCTCATCTGGGGTTCCGTGGCTGTAGTGCCTGGCCAGTTTAATAATCGATTCTCATGAATTATACCAGCAATTACACATTTTTCTTTAATTTGTTAAACAACATTCATAAAGAAAAACTATTTTCACGGCATGGTAATGTCTGCAAGTTTCGTTTTTTGGTTCAAAAGTTTGTCACCACAGGTGTTGACTACAATGGGAAATTTTTCTCTAAAGCTAATAAGCCACCGATCTCCCTCCTATGGGTGATCTCCAGCCGGCTAGCCACCAAGCTACGTGACGCGCCCCAGGTGGCGGATAGAGTGTTCATCGGGGACCAAAAGCGGCCTTTGCTTCCCTGAGAAGCAGGTGGATCCAAGGGTGGACTCCCTGCTTCTGCTACGCCGATTTGGCACACACTTTCTGTATTTGTTAGGTGTATTTATGCATGCGTGTGTGGGTCCGTTCTCACTTTTGCGGATTGTATTCTACGAGTTAATTCGGCCAAAAGTGTATAAGCAAGTGACTAGGAAGTATATGGGAGACGGTTAGGAGTCGCCTCCAACAAACAAGCTCCATGTCCACTCTGGGAGAGCCTGGCAAGCTACCCGTAAGTATACTTGGCCCCACATTCAGAGCGCAGCAAACTATACGTGGGTATCAAAAAACTAAACACAGTAAGATAATTCTCATTCTCCTGACCCCGAAAGAGCTTCTGATATAGCAGTGTTGGGTAGGACGAGTCTTAAAAGGGTGCTAAGATCTCAGGACCATTACAGGCTGCCTAAATCGCAAAGGAGTAAGATGACAATCTGTACCTAAATGCACGCACACTGTCATCTATGTCCTCGATAGAAGTCTTAATCATGGAAGCAAGAAGCATAAAATACGTCATCGGACTGGTCGAGACGAGACGACTCCACTCATTCAACGCCATCTATGACACTGGAAAAGAGCTGTTCTCGAATCAATAGAGGAATCAGCGGAGTCGGCGTTCTCGTCGGCGCGGGTTTGGCCCTTCACATTGATTCATTAAAACAGCTAACTCGAATCGGACGCTTACGAATGAAGAGATGCGGATCAATACCGGCTTTAGCAATCTTCGTCGCTTATGGGCCAACGTCGAGGTATGGCGAAGAAGAAGTTGAAACGTTCTACATGGATTTGTAGAAGTTCTATAGAGCGGACCGTACGTTCTCTAAGGCTATCAATGTACGTGGGTATTAAAAATGCTAAACACAGTAAAAAAAAAAACGGCCCTCAATCCCCTGACCCCGAAAGGGCCCCCAATTCGGCAGCATTAGGTAGGACGAGTACGGAGAGGCTGTTAAAATCTCAGATCCAATGGAAGCTGTCTGGATTTCATAGAACTATGGTGACGATCTGCACTTACAATGCACGTACACTTGCATCCGAGTCCTCAATAGCAGGCTCGCTTATGCAAGCAAGAAGGATAAGGTACGACGTCACCGCCCTGGCCGAGACCAGACGACGCCACCCATTCAACGCCGTCTTTGACACCGGAGAAGAACTGTTCCTTGGAAGATGCGATAGTAGAGGAGTCGGCGGCGTCGGCGTTCTCGTCAACACGAGTTTGCCCATAAACATTGATTCATTCCAACAACTAACAATCCGAATCGGATGTTTATGATTAAAAAGACGTGCTTCAATTCCGGTTTTGACAATCTTCGTCGTTTACGCGCCGACATAAAACTATGACAAAAAAGGGATGGGATCCGAAGGTCCGATCTGCGTCAACAATCAAAAAACAAAGATGCCATTTTGTACACCAAACAGTCGAAGATAAGGTGGGCCGGACACATAACGCATATGAATGGCAACCGATGGACAAGAGCCGCTAGCGACTGGATTCCTCGGAATCTCAAACGAACTTCAGGAAGACCACTTACCCGATGGTTAGAGTTCTTCACAAAGAGCCTTGAAGAAAGATATGATGCTCGACGAGTCCCTAAAGCGAGCAGAACTCACTGGGCTACTCTTGCACGCAACAGGAAAAATGGAAGATTTACTGACGCCCGTTCGACTCGACGATCAATGGGACTACAGGTGATACAGGTGACAGGTGAACGCTAATAAGGAGAAGTCCACTCAGACACCAACCAGAGAACAATTTAAGCATTAACAACCGTGTTAACCTATTGAGAATATAGGAACTGGTCAATCAGTGCTGGTGACAGAGAAGGGCTGGCTTTAGAAGGTAGTTAGTGCCACGGTCCTATTTCTCAATAATATGGCGGCTTTTATGTCAATCCCTGCAAACACGGAACTTGGCCTTCGTCTGTCGAAACGCTTCTTCTTTGAGTGCCTCTCCACGTTCGTTTTGTCGAACACCAGACTTCTAGGTAACCGGAAACCTATTCATCTCGATGCATTCCCAATTTAAAAAAGTGCGTGTAGAGCAGTGGTTTGAAGTGTCCTACAATACATGTCTTTAATCCCGCCCCTGAGGTCACCAGGTTCCCCATCACTCCGGATTCGGCAAATTGCTAGCAGACCAGTCTAAAAAATAGTAGAGCTGACAATCATCAACGCAGAGAACTCAATCTTTATTCCTAACAAACCAGGAGATATCCATAAACTAAGCCCCACTCAATTTTTTCTGCAAACTTTACACTATTCTACGTTTAAAACCGATTAATGCCGTTAAAAGCTACTTATACCAACTACCTCTTAATCACAAAACGGAGGATGTTTAGTGGAGCGAAACTCTACCTTTTCGCTTTTTTCATCGCACTCTAGCGACTTCATTAGCGACAATGGGAAACACGTTTGACGAATCCGTGTCTTCTTATCCAAGCTCTTTTCTTCTATTGCCACGGTAAAGTGGAGGTGAAAAGGCATTATCGGATAAGGGCTGTCTCATTCTTCCTTCATCGCTGAGATTCCTGAGCACGCCATCTGTTTGGCTAATATTTTTCAAAGCAATAACGGTTACGCCTTCGAAAATTCGAAAACAAATAAAGATTCAATAAGAATTCTCCAACGTTCTTCTCTGTGATACCACTTTACATCAACACAGTACACTACGATTCGATAGAAGAGCCATGTACAATTCAGAAAAAAGGATAAAGGATAAAGTTCTCGGCGTTGATCAATCCCCGAGGGATACGCCATGCATTCGACTTCATTAAGCATCTCTTGGAGGTGATTGAATACATGTCTGACCTTTACAGCGACTCGTGGTGGCTTACGGATGTATCGAGCCAGTGCTGCTATCCTACCAAACAAGTTTGGTACCAATTTGCCGACCTCGGAGGGATGGAAGGCTTGGTGGGCCATGGGCGCGGAGATCAATTCCACGTCTGTGTTGCAGGGCCCCTCCGACCACTGCGCCACACCTCCTCGCATAGAATTCAGTACACTCGCAAAAACAAAAGCTTTCCGTTGGGGCGATTCCGTTTTTGGGCGTACAGTACAAAAAGAATAATGCTGATTGCACCACTGTTACGGTGCTTTCGTAGCCAACAAAGTACAAGAATGGGCAGACGGCGAAGTTACACTCAGTTATGGCTATAATGTGGTCTACTCGACGGTGTGTGGGCAGGTGTAGTTCAGTTGTTAGAGGGTGCCCTTGCAATATACATGGGCTCGACCTCTCTCACCAAGCTCGCCAAGGCTTCCACTTCTCCAATGTCGGCAAATTTTTGCCAGAACGGGCTGGGAAGATAACAGCACTGACTCAGTGCATCGGTTGGCCACAGCAAGTCATTCATTGTGTTGGCCACATAGCATTCGATCACCATTAACGATGTTTGGTGAAGTCAGATGCATCCTTTAGGGACTGATCAACGCTGAGAACTTTATCCTTTATCCTTTTAGTCAGTAGTTTCTCTGTTGTTGTTTAGCTTGCTTAAGCTGTTGGGTTTGGTCAGATATTCTCAGTGTCAACTATATAACTACGAATTTGATGAGGTGAAACACTTTTGAGGTGCTACCATTATTCCACAGCGGTCAAATAAATATAGAATAATGAGAACTCAAAAGTTTAATCGTTAAATGAGAATCGAGCTCCAAAAAATCGGGAAAAAACAAATCGCTCAAACTTCGGAAGACTTGCTCACTTAGGAAGAAAATGATTAGGTACTCGTTCCACTGGCTCTTAGCCAGTTACTTGGATACTTGAATGGTCCGCCACCATGAACAGTGTGAGCACCAGCACATTTTTCATTCCCTTTCCTGCCTAGCGATCGTCATCCGGTAGTGCTTTGCTTAGAACATGGTGAGGTCCGCGAGACACGTTCCATAATTGTTCCTGGCTAATAGTGCAGCAAGTTGACAAGAACCACAAGCAACCAGTCCCATCGTGTTGGTGATCGTCGCACAGGACTCCCGCAGCGTCGTGAAGGCCACTTCACATCCTCTTTTCTTCTACTCATCGTTTGTTTTCTCACTATACGACCGACCCTACTGTATCTCGCGGTCAATGTATAACCTTGATGTCGAAGATGAGAAAAGTTTCAAAAATCTGAGCCATGCATTATGGCTAAGCGTTGTATGGATACGTTATATTTTAAAAGACATCACTGAGGCCCTGTGTGGGTGCAGACTTTTGGAAGTTGTTGAATTGTCAACCAACATCTCTACTGATTACAGTAAGCTGAAAATCGCTGAGCGGAAAAGATGAGCGCGAATTTAGCTCAGTTGCTTAGCCGCTGACTTATCTAAAAGACCCGAATGCAGTCAATGCACCTTCAGTATAATTCGTAATAATTTTCCTAATAATAAGTAGTAAGTAATAAGTGCAATAATAATAATAATAATTCAATAATAATTCATAAGTACAATTGCAGTGTAATTCATCGTTCATGTTGTTCTTTCCTTCCAGACAAGTCTGGTACCAAATTGCACCGTTATTCTTTATGTTCATCGAACTGCTATAATACCTCACAATTTGATTCCTGTAATTTAGAGGACCATAAATTTCGATTTGTTCACCTTCGTATCACTGGTTTTTCATGAACGGGTTTCTTCCAACTTGTACGTAGCCAAATGGTCTTCCCGCTTTGTTAAGCTCTAGTCGTCCTATTACTAGCTAGCTTGAAAAGAAAGGCTTTGTCTGAACAGCCGCTCTACTAGTGAATCAGACTTCCAAGTTTTTAAAACAACATATCTCGAAAGAAGGCTAGAGGTAGAGCTCTAACTCTAAAATAAACTCCACCAGATTTTGAAGACCACGCGTTGTACATATTAATAACATATGTTTAGGAGACTGTCAAAATGGAATCCTTCATTTCAGCAACTGCTGGAGCGATTCAAGACACCACTGATTACATCTGAAATCGATGAGATAGTTATTGCACCGTTGCCCAAAGGATATGGTTTTCTTTACGAACGACATCCAACGGCTGGAGTAAGAAATTTCCCACCAACCACAGGAATTCCTAATCTTGATATTCATATGATAAAACGCGTTTTGATGCTATTCAATAAAGCTCGACAATGTTATTCTTTTTCTAAAACTCCATTATGTTTCAGAAATGCTGGCTTGTTGGTCATCCAGGATTTGGTGGAAGCACGGTCATGATGGACATGGAAGACGAGGTATTGCTAACTCTCAAAACTTATGAAATATCAGTAGACTTCTACCCCTATCGCTCGATTATCTCAAAGATTCTGAGGAAACTAGGCAGTTTCAGCTGGCCACATTTTTGTACTCAGCATTAACTTGCAGTATTCATTTCCTGTATAGAACAACTTCCGTAATAATCTAAAAAGAGAAATAACAGGATAAAAAGATAGTCAAGAATTATCCCCTTTTCTAATGGCTATACATTTTTCACAGCGATATCCATGATTCTTCACTAAATTTCGTTCCATTTTAGTTGGAAAGGCGGGAACAGATAAGACAGTTACCCCTGTAAACCATGCCAATCACTCTATCACTAGCGCTCCATGAGAGACTGCTGAACTGACATCTACAACAGGGGTCTATTCCACACTTCACGACAGGGTAATCTATACTAAGGAATTTTACCTTCATCGATAATCCGTTAGGAGTAAACCTCTGTCCGTGTAAATCTCTGTGCAAGGTACTGTATCAACTTTCTCGTCGACAGCAATAGAAATGAAGAGCCTCATACCGAAACTTTGATACTTGTTTCGAATAAGCAAAGGAGAATCATCGTGCTATTTGAGAATAATCGGATGTGCGGCATCGAGGCACCATGGGACGAACCGAGCCTTCACTAGTACCCGCTCGACTTTCTTCATAAGCAAAGTCATTAGCGGTGGTTGCTTTCTTCCTATTTCACATAACCTGACATCACACCCAGCATTTTCTCCATTCGATTCATTTCCTCATAACCATCATTCACTAAAGTCTTCAGATTTTGTGTGCCGTTCCAGCTTAAGGATTTTTGGTCTTCTTTACGAACGTTATCAAACTCTGATTGAATCGATTATTTCTGGAATCCTGGAACTGCCTTGGTAGTGCGTTCTCAGATCATCAGCATGAATCGGCGTTATCACCAGTAAATTTCATATTGTTGACATCGGACAAGAGAGGGTGTTTGGTTGTCCCAGTTCGGGGTCGAAACAGTGTATTGCGCGCATTGAAGAACACCACTACCACCCTGCTGCTGACAATTTCTGAACAATAATTTCTCCGTACTGAACCTAAGCACTCTTGCTCACTAAAAAACTCCACTATTTGTTTAGGTAGTTATCGCCTATGTCACCAACGGCTTAAAGACGGGAATGGGAGAGCTGACACGAACGTATCGTCACTTACGAAACGCCGTTTTCGAATGTCTGAATAGGAAAGAAGTACCATGACTTACACCTGGGAAGATCTCCTACAAGTGCCATAGCTTACACAATGGAACATCGTTACGTACGCATAAGGCAAAAATGTAGGAGGTTCTATACATATATCAACAAACACCGTCATTTGCCACATTAGGCTAAACACTATCAAGAATGTTTCTTACGATCAAGTCTCATTCAACTAACGGTGTCTTTTGACATGTTATGATTTGCTCAATTTTTGTTACACAAATCCTTTCTAGTCTTCTATTTCCGTATGTGTAAAAATCCTTCCACGAATAGCAATGTATTTTTCTCGTATTTCGTCCACAAGCGTTATATTAACACTTCTTGAAAGTTAATAAATAATTAGCAATTTACTTCTCTCATAATTCGTACGATCACCACGAGCACGGTGCGAGTACGATCCCGCAGCAGGCACATCAAGCCTCCCATCCCACCGGGATCGGGAAGTTGGTACCAGATTTGTCCGGAAAAAATTCACCCTCTGCAATCCAAATGGGTACGTTCCAGCTCGACTATCTCAGGGCTCTACGGAGATCAAGATGAAATGAAAAATCTCAAGCAGCACCCGAAGCCACACAAAAAAATTTGGAGGACCTTTGTGGACAATGGATGTGACAAAACTGGTCGAATGCGAAAAGTGATGGGAGCCGCACAGTAAAACATGAAGACGGGTCGTATAAAATAAAATGAAAGGAAAGAAAACTCGTTCAAAATCGTTATACCGACACTATTTGAAGGTTAGTGCATGATTAGCAATTTATTTTTCTAGTAATTCGTTCATAACTGTTATAGTACTTCTCGAAAGTTGATAAATGATCCATCAGATACCAAACTCAGCATTTGCTTCTTCAAATAAAAATAAAGACGGAAAAACCGTATATTTATTACTGGCAGTCCTACTCATCCATATCATCTTCATCCAATTTGGCATGAGCCCATTCTTCGGCTTCAGCTACTACTTGGATCGGAACAGTCTAAAGGACAGGAGGATATGAATGAATAACGTACAATCAGAAAAAATCACAAACTTCATGTTTCCCGTCAGTGTGCTCTCCAACCCAGCCCAACTCAATTTGAACATCTTTGTCCTGAAATATAGGAATTAAAATCAAAGAAACCATTCCAGAGGATAAAAAAGGATAAAGCGTTGATCAATTCCTAAGGGATGCGCCATGCGTTCGACTTCGTTAAGCATTGACTGAATGCATATATGACCTTTAGAATAACTTGCGGTAGCCTACTCATATATGGAGCCACTGCTGCTAACCTCCCACACCAGTCCCAGAGGGATGGAAGGCATGGTATGCCAGAGGCGTTGGGACCGATCCCATGCGTCCTACAGGGCGCCTGCGACGACTGCTCCACACGCGGTAGTCATTCCATAAGAGTGATTCAAAATGAACATGTTGAAGAGATGCCCTGTCGGCGCCAATATTAGAGGGACTGGGAGAAATTTGGCCCTATCTTCTGGAAAAGTGTGAAGGTCACATTGCATATTACACTAAGACATTAAAAATATCTATCACCCTACGTTATTTTCACAATGAAAAGCTAAGCTGATCCGCAGAGTTTCTTTTACAAAGCCCTTCTTATGGCCCATTATATTACATAAGTATATTGCAAATATGTGGCGTGTGGCTTAGTGGTCGGAGACATCCTGCGATACACTCGGGATCAGTCCTCGCGTCCATGGCCCACCAAGCTATCCATCCATCCGGGGTTGGCAAATAGTTACGACTTTTCTGGTAGGATAACAGTACTGGCTCGATACATTGGTGGGCCCATGCGAGTCATTGTATCGGCCAGATATGCATTAATCAAAGATGCTTAATGAAGTCGATAATCGAATACATGGCGCCTCCCTCAGGGACTGATCTATGACGAGCTTTTTAATTTTCTTTTATTACAAATATATAGCACCCTACCTTATTTTCATCACGGATAGCCATTATGATCCGCGCAGCTTCGTTTACCAAATCCTTCATGTCACATTGTTCCAATTTAAGTTTTTCGATCTCAGCCTAGAAAATCAATAACTGTGCGGAAGAAGTAAGTTGAAGTCAACAAGCTGACTACAGCAATCCGTACCTTAGCTGCTTGTCGATGCTTTCCTACAGCCCATGCTTTGTACTCGTAACATAGCCCTGACGGTTCAACCAAGTATAGCTTACCACCTTCCTTAAATGAACGAATCGTATTCATTACTAAAGTATTCAAAAAACCATTTCCTCTTCCAATGTAATGGCATTGATATCAAGTGACGCATTTCAATTATTCAACAGCACTACACTCCTAACTTTGGGCAAAATTCTCCATCCATCCGGAACAATATCAGTGATATTACTGACAGTAAATTTATGATCGTATTGACCTTTGGATCCCATGAAGAGAAGAATGCAGAGGCACCAAATGGCCGGCTGATGCCCAAAGTGAAGATATGGATATATTCCGCTAACTAAATCAGTAGAAAAATTGGAAACCAGAAAACATTCATTATATGTAAAGAGAAAGAAAATACCATACAGAGTTAGCAAGCTTTTGAATTGGCATCGGTTCGCGGTAATCCTTCAGATATTTCACTGCCTAAACACATTTACTTATCAAAACAATGCATTTGCCGACAACGCCTAAAGCTTCTATGGCACTATGTACACATACGGCCCAACTTAATAGAAAATATACAAGCCCACGGCTTCCTATAGTTAATTTGACTATACAAAAGGATAAAAAGGTCTCAGCGTTGACCAATCCATTAGAGATGCGCCGCGCATTCGTCTTCATTAAGCATCGTTTGAAGGTGATTGAATGCATATCTGGCCTTTACAGCGACTCGTGGTGGCATACCGATGTCAGTGCTGCTATCCTAACAGACAATTCTGGTGCCAATCTACCGACCCCGGAGTGGAGGTCTTGGGGACCCGGGACGCAGGAATCGATCCGGTGCGTATTGCAGAATGCCTCCGCCCAATGCGCCATACGGGCCGATTTTTTTCATATCAAACGAAAAAAGTCAATGGAATTAGTTAATCTGACTATACAAAAAAATGCTAACACTAATGTTGTTGTTATGAAAGATGCTATACCTCACTACATGCATAGTCCTTCAGAGCACGACAGTCAGGATACACTCCAGCTAAGGCTAGCCCGATTTTTTCATTAGCGTTGAAGATGCGCGGATTTGCGTTCTATAGAAAAAAAATACGTTTGAAAGTTCTCTAAATGGAGAGAAACGGGGTAGATAACGCTCAGAAGTGTGCCAATCGTATCCTCACCTCTTCATACATTTTGGATGTGATGACTTTGTCAACAGCTGTTACAACGCCATTTTTCCCCCTAAGGGCAATCATCGTGCCACTGTTGTCAACAGCCTTTTGAGCATACTCAACTGAAAGGAATTAAAAGGCTGGATATATTCGAAACTCAAAAAGGAGCTCACTTTGGAAGATGCGCCCGTCTGGTGAAAATGTTGATGCGGCCAGATCATAGCCCGTCCCGATGGAACTCATCTGAAAAAGATTGTGGACTAAACAGCTAACCAAAGACAACAGAGAAAGGACCATTAAGGGCCAGCTAACATAAGTCTATCAAATTTCCACAAAGGATGATCTAACCAGAAAATGAATGGGAAGAAAGTGTCTGGGAATTGCTTTGACAAACGTTCGACGAAAGATGAGGAAAACTAGCCGCAATTTCAAGACAATTCCATTTCGAAAGATAGCAAAAACTTGGGCAGAAAAACCACAATAGGTTGAAGGAAAGCGAATGCAACAAATAGAATGATTTGAACGAGAAACATAGTTACGCTGCACTAAACGGCAAGCACCTCTCAGGGCGAATTTTCTGCAACGTTGCACGCAAGCAACACCTTGCGACGATCTCCTACATATTTCGGTCGTCCTGCGTTGCACTAATTATGAGATCATTGGACATATGTAAATGCATACATATACATTATCTAAGTTGCCTGAAGTCTTCTCAAGCACAGAAAGAGTGGAGCGGACGCCAGTAGTCTTTGTTTAGCGCTGTGAAACGGCTAGGATATCCAGTTTTTCCTCGCTGGAAGGACACGAGTACTGTCTCGGCTTTCCTGTTCTGTTCTTAATCTTACCGTTGCTGGGCAGAGAGTACAGACCCATAGCAGTCAAACTATTGCTCTGAGATTCAGGATTAACTCATGAGTAGCTTGGCGGACCCTGAGCAGATGTGAAGCTTAGTGGGAGCGACCGTAAACGGTAGGATACAGTTCGTATAAAGGTGTAAAAACCAACGTATGTATATGATAACGTGTATGTAAGAGCTAAAAATACTGTGGTGTTACGGAATCTGGGAATACACTTGGTTTTTTGGTACGGGGTCAAACGTCGCCAGTGCCAACACCTGGAGTTTAGCACGGGATAATCGTTTGGAAACCCTCGCGTGAGATTGTACCATCTCCACTTTGCTGTTTGCAAGAGTCGAGCGACTTGCTTAAATAAGGTGTTTTTTGCTTGAATAAAGCAGTCGCTTCGGTGCTTGACCCTCTGAGGTTTGAAATCGCGAAAAGGTATGCGAGGTGGTGAACTCAGCACTCGTATCCCGGCCCTCATCACTTCAACGCTGATCTGCAAACTAGGATCTCTCTCGTTTTCGATTAGTACGAGCGATTTCACCTAACTATACAGATACTATGTGAAATATAACCATAACGATGACGCTGTCACCCTTTCCGGGAGCTAACGAGTTCACCACCACACCGTGCAAATCCGTTTTGCCTTTCGATATAAGAATAGTTGCTGCCATAATTCCAGAAAACAAACGACGACAAGATGGTCCGAAGGGATCCGTCGCCACGCGGCCACTGTGTAACAGTTGTCCGACCATCATTGGCCCCTCCCCACGGTTTTTCTTCCGTTTTGTTATTTTCTTTCTTCCTTGTTCTCGCAGTGCTGTGGCAGTTCTGCCAGAAGTCGTCTTCTACACAACTTAACCTTGTTGGATTACGAATCCCCCACGTATCGTATAAGTGAATTCCATGCTAAGTTTCCAAATGTTTGCGTTCCTTTCAACTCAAAATGTGATGCTATCACTTCCTTTTGGTTTCCAGAGCATTTATTTCTTAGTAATAATTCGTTATATATGAGTTTGGAGGTTTTACAAGCGCTGTTGTTGGTGTATGATGCCGTTACAATTGCCACTAATATTTGAAACGGTTTTAACATAATGTCGTTCGGTTATTGATTGGAATATGTGTGAACCTTGAACCGTTTTGTCTCCTGGTTATTGATTTTTCGTTCTTAACAGAGTAACAAAATGCCATCTCAATCGAGAAGTCACAGTGCTTCGAACGCCGAGAACGTGCAGTCATCGGAATCCCACTCGAATAGTAGCAGTGATTCCGATTCCGATGAACAGCCTAGCTCTGAAAAGCGTCCGCGGATAGGTGTCACTGAAACTACCTCACAGAGATCTGATTCGAAAGAACGAACCAGATCTCCAGACCGTCTTCAAAATGAGGTAGATGATGTGCTTTTACGAAAGTCACCTTCTAGAGAACAGTCTAAATCTCCAAAACGTCCGCTCAAAAAGCTAGACGACGTACGTTCACGGAGATCTGGTTCAAGGTCACCATCTAAATCTCCAAAACGTTCGCGTAGAGGAAAAGATCGTTCACGGAGGTTTGACTCGAGAGAAAGGTCAAAATCTCCAAAGCGACCACGCTTAGAAGCAGATGGCTCGCTTTCGCGAAAGTCCAGATCAAGGGAGCGGCCTAAATCTCCAAATCGAGGTTACACCAGGGTGAGTGGTTGGATAGGACACTGTTTCCTTCATTCCAATGACCGTCTTTGGGCGTTCATGACGTATACTTTAGACAAGCCGCAGTAGAAATAGGAGAAGAAGTTCTCGAAGAAAAGATGAAAGAGGGCGAGATCACAGGAAGCGTTCCCGAAGTGAGAAAAGGTTTGTAGAGACAGACGTATGCTGTTCTGCGTAGAATTTCTCTTTCTTACAGGAGCCACTGTGGCGATGAAGCGAGTGGTGACAATCGTGATAAGGATATGAAGGAGGCAAAAGCAGTTGAAGAGGAACTAAAGCCAAAAAAGGAGCCTTTGGATTTATTGAGAACCAGAACAGGAGGTGCTTACATTCCTCCGGCTAAGTTGCGAATGATGCAGGATCAAATAATTGACAAGGTACTGTCGTAGGACTGGCTTTACTGTATAAACCAGGATATGCTGACCATTTGTAGGAAGGTGAACAATATCAGCGAATGAACTGGGAGAGGTTAAAGAAGAAAATTCATGGATTGGTAAACAAGGTAAACACCGGGAATCTTGTTTCTGTTGTCAGGTCACTCCTACAGGAAAACATTATTCGCGGGAAGTGGGTGTTTTTCTTACTGACTACTCGTTAGCACTTTTAAATAGCCTGGTCTCAATTTTATTCAGAGGACTGCTGGTAAGATCGATTATGCAAGCGCAGGCCTTTTCTCCTGTGTTTTCTCATGTCTACGCCGCGTTCGTTGCTGTGATAAATTCGAAGTTTCCTCACATCGGTGAACTGCTGTTGCGAAGGTTGATTGTACAGTTTAAGCGTTCTTTTCGAAGGAATGATAAAGGTTAGAGTTTTGTCTTAAATAGAAGATTGAACGGTGATGATATGTTAGTCATTGGAAACCAGAATACAGGTTAAAATTTCCTTTTAGATCATTGAACATAGTTCGTAAGGGAAGGCGATTTTTTTTAGTGCAGAGAATATTTGAAAGCCGGGGTTTCCATCAGAAGAATCGTCTTTTTTTCAGGTACCACTGTCACTGTATCCAAATTCATTGCTCATCTCATAAACCAAAGAGTGGTAAGTTGTTAAATACCTTCTTCTGCTAGAGCCAGGTAATTCAAATCGTTTTATAACTAAATATCAGAAAATGAGTTTTCTACGGTTTTGGAAATGAATGGTATATAATTGTTGACTAAATAAGTGTGCCTCCAAACACGGTTTATCGCCTTGTCGTGGCTGTGAGGTGCTCTGGAGTGTTGGGCTGCGATGCAAAAGAGAGGGTTCACCTCCCAGGAGCGCTTTCCAAGCTGAGAACAAGCTTGACTTACACCCAGAAGTTCAGCTAAGAGTGAACCAATACCAGGATGCACCGTCGTCCTGGTACCAAACTAGTCACGTTGTGGCAAATGTCCCTCTGATCCACAAGGGCGCTGGCTGTCTGTGGTGGTGAGTACTTGGGAGGCATTGACAGAGTTGAACTCAGATTTCCATGGAATTACAGTGACTGTTCAAGCAAAACAAAAAAAAATGGAAATTATACTAAGGCTCGCACAACCTGTGAAGACGGGCCAACCAAGTATCGAAATAAATAGATGCGCAGTTTAAAAGTGCAGCTGAGGCTATTCGTATGTGCTTTTGAAAAGTTATTCTGTGAAGAATATTGCCAGAGTATATAGAAACTTTGTTCAGGCTCATGAAGTTCTTGCTTTGGAGATCATGATTTTGATGATGGAAACGCCCACAGACGATTCTGTTGAAGTTTCAATAGCATTCCTAAAGGAGTGCGGCGCTAAATTGTTAGAGGTATGATCTCTAAATATTTCTTTTCTTAGGAAAGTATTCAACTCTATGAAATTTTAGGTGTCCCCCCGTGCTCTGGACACAGTATTTACACGTCTTCGAGGGATTTTACAAGACGGAGACTCTAATAATCTCGATAAGCGTGTTCAGTACATGATTGAAGTTGTTATGACGATAAGGAAAGACCAGTTTAAGGTGATTTTCTGTCGCAGTTATTCTTTCTACTTAGTGCACAAAGTGGGCGTGTAGCGCAGTAGTCGGAGGCGCCATGCAACACATATGGGATCTATTCCCTCACCCATGGCCCATCAAGCCATCCATCCATCCGGGGTCGGCAAATTGGTACCAGACTTGTCTGGGAGGATAGCAGCACTGGCTCGATACATTGGTAGGCCACCGCGAGTCATTGTAAAGGCCAGATATGCATTCAGTCACCTCCAAGCGTTGCTTAACGAAATGCAATGCATAGGGCATCCCTACAGGATTGATCAACGCCGAGTACTTCTATTTTATTGCTTGGCATACAAACTTAGTTTACGCTTACTTAATTATTCAATTAAGGCATATCCAGCGGTTATTGATGATCTGGACCTTATTGACGAGGAGGACCAAATCACTCATACGATTTCTTTGGAAGATGCAGTAAATCCCGAGAATGAACTGAGTACGTCATTAATTGTTCTGTGTAACTTTCAACACAAGATTTAGATTTGGAAGACCCAATTGAACCCAATTGAAAAGTTCTTTGGAAGATCTTCCTCAGTGTCTAATCAGTTTTGTTTCCATGAACCCAGGTTTCTCTTCATGAAGTATTGTATAGAGAATACGTTCAGATATTTTCAAAATGGACCCGGATTTCTCGAAGAATGAAGAGCAGTACGAAGAGATTCGAGCTGAAATCATTGGTGATGCTGATGATAGTGACGAAGGTAGTGGTGACGATGACACTGATAGTGATAATGACGAACAAGCAGGTTTGTCGAATCATGTAAACGAGTCATTCATTGATTACGGTAGGTTAGAGCTACTTCAAGACGGCCTTGAGTTTTTTGCACTTTTTTGCAGCATTTATTTGCACTGAAAATTGATTGAGTCTATTGAATGGTACTAAAATGTTTTAGCTGGGCAAACTACTACTGGTTCGGCAACTACTGAAATTATCGATAACACTGAGCAAAACCTTGTGGCTTTTCGTCGTGAAGTTTATCTCACAATCCAGTCGTCGCTTGATTTTCAGGAAGCTGCTCACAAACTTTTGAAGATGAAGGTTTCCAAGGAATTTGAAGTAATTTTTCGACTCAGCCGTGTATTCTGTTATAGTCCGATGATTATCTATGTGTTTTTTGTAATATTTGATCCAAGTTATCTTCCAGACAGAGTTATGTCACATGCTTGTGGATTGTTGCTGTCAACAGCGAACGTACGAGAGGTTTTATGGTCTTCTTTGCGAAAGATTCTGTCGTCTTCGAAAAGAATATCAGGTTCACCATAGATAGTTTTTACATCGCGGTCTTACAATTTGATCGTGTGTTTCTTGAATAACACTGCTCCTTACAAGTTTTCTGTTTTTGATCGTAAAATGTTGTGTGACAAAAGAGGGCGTGAATGGCATCAGTAGTGGTGCTGTATATTACTGGCATGGCGCGTGTTCGACCCTGCGATAGGATCACCAAGCCTATCATTCTTTAGGGTTTAGGGAATATTGGTTACAGATATGAAAACTTTCATTCTGCGAAACTCAGTCCAACTCTGTAGGCTCGACTTTCCTGGGAAGCCAGGGAGAGTCGACTCGACTAGCAGTCAACGATGTACATAATAAAGAGAACGATACTCAAACAAACGAACCTATTTGCGGAAAGCTCGAAGATATCCATGCATGATGGGTGCGAGGAAATGAATAGAGTGCAAAAAGTACTAGGATCTACACCGTAAACAAGAAAACGGGCCGTGGTCGTGGTTAATTTAACAAATAGGAAAAAATTATGTCGTAGTGTAATGTACAGAAAACTTTTCGAATTTCTGAGGCTTCTCAATCATTCCTTTAATATATTAGATTAAAAGGATAAAAGGATAAAGCTGTCGGCTCTGATCAATCTCTGAGGGATGCGCCATGCATTATATTTCATCAAGCGTCGTTGGAGATGATTGCATGCATATCTGGTCTTTATGACTCGCGGGTGTATAGAATCAACGCTGCTGTCCTCCCAGATAAGTTTGGTACAAATTTGCCGACTCCAGAGGTATGTAAGGCTTGGTGAACCACGGGAGCGGGGACCGATCCCTCGTGTGTATCGCAGGGAGCCTTCGACCACTGCTCCATACGCCTCTTTACATATTAGATTATCAGCTCTAAAGTTATAAGTTTTACTTCAGATGACATTTGAAAGGATCGCTTGTGATACATATGCAACCATTCATAGATTTGACATTACGAAGCTGAGAAACATGGCTAGACTTATTTCTCATCTGCTTTTCACTGATGCGATAAACTGGACGGTAATTTTTTCACTTAACTTTTCTCACAATAATTTGACAAAGTCTGAAAGAAAGTCCGTCAATGTCAGATTACTGAAATGCTTCGTATTAGTGAACATATTGTTTTAGATTTTCTCCGATGTTCGACTTACTGAGAGCGACACTACCTCATCAGGCCGCATTTACCTCAAATATATTTTCCAAGAGTTATGTGAATCCATGGGACTTGCAAAGCTTTATGAGCGCATCAGTGATCCGTGAGTGTGAACTTTTGCTGGTGACCATACAGTTTTCGCTTTCACTTGTCATTTTCAGGACGTTGCAGACAGCCTTCGCTGGTTTGTTTCCGCGTGATAACCCGCAGAATACACGATTTGCGATCAATTTCTTTACTCTTACTGGTCTAGGTGGCCTCACGTAAGTTATGCATTCTTTGTTTAATTCCTTATTGGGGGATTATGAGTCTACTTTCGTTTTCTTGAGTAGTACATCCGTTGCGTTTGAATTTTGTCCCTTCACGTTAAAAGTCATGGTTCGGTATCTGCTCTTTATTGACTTCGATTAGCTACGAACACACTCTTCAATCCGCGAGCACAATTACAGTGGAAGAAATTGAATTATATGTGGTTTATGCACTAAACTTTTTCGATTTACTCACGGAAGCTCCATAATGTGTCTTTATTTTACCTGAGTGTTAGAGTTGATCAGTGGATTTTATGAGTTGTGTTGATTTGAGGAGGCTCGCAAGTTCTCTCAAAGGTATTCATAAAAGATGTTAATGTTTTGGCGTTGACTCACTGCGACAGGTGGCGAAATTCGATTTGTTGCAGTTATTATTCAGTTCTTATTTTAAGATCTGTTAACATATGCTTAGAAATCAGTCCTTTGTCATTGTCTGTCCATTAGTGTCTGTGCTTTACGAATGTCGGTGTTGGTTGGAAGTTCGGCTTGTTTCTGAACACTATAAGATTCGTCCAACACTAATGCAATTTTGAAACTTTTTTTTACTATTTTTTTCATGACAGCGCACCGATGTGAAGTACAACCATAAGGATGCTGAGATATGAGAAAAAGTGTGAACTTCAGGTGGACTTCCATCCACGATCACCCTTATCGGAGGCTTACGTGCTATCCACCACACCGGCGGAGGCCTTTCTCTCAGCCATGTTTTTACTCTATCGATGATATCACCAATCACGCATAAGAGGGAGTGATTTGGGGAGCACAAGTCGACATTGAACCCAGTTAAGCTGAAAGTGTGGACAGAATCAGAGTCTTGTGACTTATTTATTGCCTGTTTCTTTCATGAGAAGGTACCGATCGCGGGTTGATAGCCTAACGTTCCAAGTTTTGATCACAACTCAGTATTGTTATAATTTATTTCACTAAAGGAACTTGTAATTGGATAAAATATACCATCAACTTGGCTGTCTTAGGTTGTCCATTCGTATTCTAGCATGCTCATTATTGTCTCGATAGGTTATTGCATACATCATCTCTTTTACATCTAGGGCGACTCCCCTGTAAGACGATTGAGATGACTTTCCCTACTCGATGAGCTCTGGAGCATTCTTGGCCATGCAATTTTGGCGACTTTCATACGATTGTCGTCCTTAACGTTACATTATTGGGAGCACTTTCAATTTCACTGAAATGTAATCATCTTCATTTATTGATTTTCCTAAGTGCACTCGGTGTCCTTAACGTTGGGTTATTGTAACGTCGATGACCTACCGGTATGATTATCTTGCTATTATCGCTTCTCATTTTTGAACCAGTATCCACCATCATGTATTAAATAATAGCGTAGAATCTTCATGGGCTTTCTTTAGGCGATGCTGGATGTTTTGTAGATAACCTTTTTAATAGACAACTGAATGGCTTCATTACAGAATCGATCTACGTCAGTTTCTTGAGAAAGGTATGAAGAGAAAAAGGCAAGACTCTACTGGCGAATCACCATCATCTTCGTCAAGTTCTTCTGACGACTCCAACGATAGCGATAGTGATACCGATAGTGACAGTGATAGCGATAGTGATAGTGAAAGCGATGACTCAGGTTCGTTATTCTTAGAGGTCATGTTCTTGTTTACCACTTCTAGAAAGCTTGGACCATGCATATATTATGACATGCAACGGAAACAGGGGAAATAGATTTTGTTTTGTCATTGCTTAATTATTTCCTAATGTGATTGGTCGTATCAATTAATTTTTTGGTTTGTTCGCTAATCGCACCTATTATTTTTTTTTGAAACACAAGTCACTTTTTTTGTTCTGGCATTGCTTCCACTTGTTATTTTACTTAGAAGAAAGAAGGAAACTTTACTTAACTACGTTTTCGCTACCATTGCCATGTATACTGTTCCACTTTGCGTGCATCTTCGGATTACGTTCCTCCGAGAAAGACAAAGCTTGCCAATCGACGAAGTCGGTTAGGGTATTATGAGGTTGATATATTTATTTATATGATCTTATAAACTGATCTTTTTATGCCGATGCGAGGTTGGTACAAGTCTTCGTTGTCGTTGTTTTTGATGTTGTTGCTCGATGGCTGACGTTTCGGCGACTTCGCCTTCCTCTAAGCCTGACGTATTTTATATTAGGATATTTGTTATGAGGTTGTTGTAGTCGCGCGGATAGTGGTGCTTCAGTGTCTGGAAAAGTGATGGAATGAAGGCATGTCTGGGCATGAAGACATGTCCATTCCAACAATAAACCAGTATATCTCGAACGGTCTTTTGGCTTTCCCAACATAGAGTGGTGTGGGAGTTGGGCCGCTTTATTGGAGAGAAAGATTGTGTAAAGAAAGGAAACAAATCCACGTGGTAGGGAGCGCTTATTGTTTTGCGCAAGTGAGGGATGTTTGTAATTTGTTGTATTAGTTTATCATATCTATTCGAACCAGTTTCAAGGACACACTAATCCGTTGAGTTGCAATCGCAGTTAGCTGCGAATCATTTAGGAAAAAAACTTCTTGAAAATTGTCTGGAGTATGTCATCAAAGTAATGGGCGATATAGAGGTTTGGGGCATCGATTGAGTGATTGAGTGACTTTCTGTGTTCTGCATCTCAGTCCAATGGTCCGAAAATTATGAAAAGCCCAGAAAAGCCTATTGAAGTAAAGTGGAGATGTATTTGAGGGTGTTGAAAGAAGGCAGTTTATGAGAAGAGCCTATACCACAACTGCGTATGTTGTTCCAAATTAATGGCTGACACAGTTGTGTGACGAGTTCCAGTATGCATCAACGGTCCAATGATTCACTGCATTCTGTAGGTGGGAACTATATGCGTGTATAACAGCGAGAAGGCGCGAGTGTAGTGCAGTGGTCGGAGGTGCCGTGCAGTACACATGGGATCGATCCAATCCCTCCTGGGTCGGGAAATTAGTACCAGAATTATTTGGGGGATAGCAGCACTGCCAGGATACATTGACAGGCCACCACGAATCATTGTAAAGGTCACACATGCATTGAGTCACCTCCAAACGATGTTTAATGAAGTCGAATGCATGGCGTATCCCTCAAGGATTGATCAACGCCGAGAGTTTTATCTGTTTTATAAGAGCGAGGGATCAATATTTTCACATTATAGGAAAAAATCATGGCAAAACAGGTTTCTTTTAGCCTATTTCCGTGATTGACAAACGCCCGTTAGAACACAGTAGAGTTTGTAATAATTTGTTTGCAGTGAATTAAAAGGTAACATTGTGATTTAAACTGCAGCCTCACCTTAACTGGGTTCGTTGCCGATTTGGGCTCCCCAGATCAATCCCGTTGACGGGTGATTACTGATGGCACTGATCGACAGAACTAGCTGAGAAACGGGCGAAACGATGGACCTGCATGGTGTGGTGGTGAACGCGTTACTCCCCGGAAAGGACAATAGCGCGCTCGTTCCCTACCGCAGATACCTGCAAATATGTCAGCATTATTGTGATTGAGTCACACAGTAAAGTTTCATTGAATTAATAAATTATTGAAGTTATATTTCGCAATATACCCTGCCATTAAAAAGAGTGAGGAGAAAATAATAGGTTAAAATTGTGAGTATAACTACGGCCTCAGCTTAACTGGGTTCGTTGCCGATTTTGGCCCCAGATCAATCTCGCTGACGGGTGATTGCTGTGGCAAAAGATCGATAGAATTAGCTGAGAGACAAGCGAAACTAAGGATCCGAAATAGTGTGGTTTTGAACGCGTTACTCCTCGGGAAGGACAATAGTGCGTTCGTTCCCCAACACAGACGCCTGCGGTCCGGAGTTTTGCAAATATCTCAGCATCATTGAAACAATAATGTTTGTTCGTTTGCGTGAAATAATTGAGTATAGGATTCCACGGAATTGTGTGTTATAGCTTAAGAAGAATTGCATACCAAAAGTGTTAAATACGGTACCACTTTATGCCCTTTGCATCTTTATCCTTTCCTGTGTTGTAATAGACTGTTTTCTGCCAATATGAGATTTCTCCTTATTCTTTTCCTGGACTTAAAATTTCTGCCCAGTTCGTTGGTGTGCCATCAGTCTTTAGTATAACTGTTCTTTTTTTTTTCACTGGGTACTGACAAAATTTGCATGTTCTAAAATTAGAATACTCTTATACTCCACCCATGTGAATTTGTCAACTGAATTTGAATTGTTAGTTGAACTTTGAATTGAACTGAATTTTGTGTTGGCTCAACGTTCTATTCTAACAGTGAACACTAAAATTCTTTTTGACGATTACTTTATTTTCTAGAGTTTATGTCCAAGATTAAGTATGAGCACTTTAGGGCTATCTTAGAGACGTCTTTACATAATTGCATTGGTTTTTTTCGGTTCACTTTCCTTGTTTTTAGGTTCATCTTCGTCATCGTCATCCGATTCAGAAGACGCGAAGAAGCGTAAAAAAGTTAGACAGCTTAGCAAACCACGTCCTCGGAAAGGCGACGAAAGTAGTTCTTCTAACATCTAGTAATTTTCTAACATTATTCAGCTTTTTCATCTTTGATTTGATCCGTCAACGGTGAGTTCTCGCAAACAGGTTTCAGCTGATCGTTCTCGCTTCCTCTGTTCTTCGTCTTCCTTTTTCTTGCTTCTTTCCCTAGTTGGACTACGACTTTCTCTCACCTCTTTGATTTGATCTTGACCGTCGTTCATTCTTCTCTTTTGATCGTTCGTCACGTTCGGGTCGTTCACACTCTTCTCTCCTTTTCTCCAGCCTTCTTTCTTTTCGCTGACACAGCATCTCTTCTCGTCCTAGAAGTTGATCTCGACCGTCTCTGGTGACAATGGCCCTTCCTTTATTTTCTTGCGAAGTCTGAAAGGCAGCAGATCTCTACGAATATTCTTAAGTATTTGCTGCTGTTTTTTTTTCAGGTAATAAGGTAATTTAGCTGAGATTTTGGGTAATAAGGTAATTTAGCTGAGATTGAAAGAAAAACACCGGCAAACACTTAAGGATATTTGTAGGGATCTGCTGTCTTTCAGACTTCGCAAGAAAATAAAGGAAGAGCCGTTGTCACCAGAGAGGTCGATAACCAATGAAACAAGTAATCGTAATAGAGACACCTCAGAAGCGATAGGTGACGGTGCAAAGAGAAAACATAGAAGTGTGCGACGGTCGAGATCAACTTCTAGGACGAGAAGAGATGCTGTGCCAGCGAATGAGAAAGAAGGCTGGAGAAAAAGGAGAGAAGGGTGTGAACGACCCGAACGTGACGAACGATCAAAAGGGAAGAGGGAACGACGGTCTAGATCAAATCTAAGAAGTGAGAAACGGTCACGATCAACGTCAAGGGGAAGGAAAGAGCTGGAATCTTCCAGTAAGAGACGGGAACGTGAGCACAGCGAAAATACTCCTCCGAGAGCAAGATCCAGAGAAAGCCCACGGAGAGATCGAGAAAACAGGGGTTCCCCACGTCGAGAAAGTCGTAGTCCAACTAGGGAAAGAAGCAAGAAAAAGGAAGACGAATGGCAGAGGGAGCGAGAACGATCAGCTGAATTCTGTTTGCGAGAACTCACTGTTGACGGATCTGATCAAAGAAAAAAATGTTGAAAGTCACTGATCGTTGTTAATTTTTGGTTCTGTTTAGTTTTTTATCAATGTATTTAGACAATTACATTGCTGTTTTTGTGAGTCTTACCTATTTTTTCTTTTGTTGCATCATACATGAATATTATTCAAAATGTGTTCTCTCCGTGATAAGCTTACAGTTCGTTGGTAAATATTGGTTATTTACGGTTGACATTTCGATGGTTTCATCTTCATTAGAGGCGATGATCAGAGTCGATCGTCCACAGTTGTCCGTGTTCTCGTGGTGGTGTCTTCGTCGCGTATTGATATTCAAAGATTATTCAATATGTTGAATACTATTAAATACATCTTTTTGCCTTATTCAACTGTTGACCACACAATCTAACGAGAGCGCGAATAATCGGAAAGTGTTTCAAGCTTATCCGTTGTAGCAGATGTTGTGTCTTGAGATTATTGCGTTGAGGACAAAAAGTCCAACACCGTCTACGAATCTACGTAAAGCATGTTGTTGTTGAGGGAAAAAGCAGTTAATGTTTGTTAAAGGAACATTTGGATTTACTATCTGAAGCTCTGGAGCTGCTAGAATCGACGACGGCGTTTACGGGATGCAGTGAATGTGAATATTAGTAACAACGATTTTTTGGAGGAATCAGTAAACTAGCGCTCATAAATTTGGCGGGCATACGCATACCTTTTTGGACAAGCAGTCAGCATCATCAAGCTTCTAGTCTTTGATGCAGGTAGTTTTCACCAGAAATCTGCAAAAGTTGTGCTATTTTTGGTTGTGATTTCATCTGACGGGGTGGGTTCGATGGGTACACTTTATTATTCGGACCGGGGTTCTGGTGACGGAGAACTATAAATCTGCATGACGATCAGGACCGGTGCGACACGATTTTTTGTCGTAGGAGTGGTTTCTCTAATTCGTTTATAACCAACATGCGGACGATTTTGAAGCGATTTCCACTCCTATATACTGTTGCGGCATTGCTTTAGGCATGGGGAAGACGGTTCTCTAAGTTTTGCTTCCTGACAAAGTTGAACGAGCTTTTCTTACGCATGGTCCCAAAGTTAGGATTTTGGGGAAGGAAGTAGTTCTCTGGAAAATTGGTCTCAAATTCATAGCATGGACTACCTGAACCCTGATTCTCTAATACCCCCAGGAAATATGCACTGATAAAAGTAAAAACCAGGTGTAAAGTAACAATGAACACTGGTCGCACCCCTGCCGTACTTTCAACTTGGCAATGGGCAGACCTTTAAGTGTAGTTGGACTAGAGGGCTTTGAAGAAGCTGGTCACCGTTAGCGTTGATTATCCAACAACAACACTTCCCATACTTTACACGCAACTAACAGAGTAGCCAAAATGAATTGAATCGAGTTTCTGGAAGGAAAGGGTAAATTACTGTTTAAAATGATGTCCGTAGTGCGGCGCTTGGTAGTGGTCCATTCGCTAAGGAGCCATGGCAGTTCAGTACATACCAGATTCGCTTACGCTTTATGTTTATGCAGGGTTATTCCTTTTCAGGATGAGGTCTACTGAATAATAAATTGCTGAAGAAATTTTTCAGTAGAACACCGCCTTGGTTATGGTATACCTTTTTTGCTAACAACTGGCATGCTTGTTTGAATTTGGGGGTAGCATTCGCTTACAGTAAGGGCTTTCATAAAATTTTCGTTTGTTCCACGACCATATCGTTCCCAAAGAATAAGGAATTGGAAAGGAAATTCTATAACAAATCAGTCAACTATGAAGGGTTATGGATTCTTCGCTGTAATGAATAGAAACTAAATACAAGAACGCTTTATTGTACTCTTATAAGCTTGGTAAGTTTGCGAAAAATCAGAGGAACTCTCGAAACTGAACCAACTTCCAATTACAAAGCGTAAGGAGAAGCAACGATGTGATATTGGTGTTTAAACAAGAGTACCAGGAAATCGTCGCCGGATTCTTTCGACTCTTTCGAATTTCTCCGTGGTTATCACCTCGTGAATTGGATGCGTGACGTAACGGCCATCACACGATGATCTGCCGTTCTCTGAGCGGGGTTTCTGAACAGGTTTTCTTCATTTTGTTAAGAAAAAAAGGTAATTTTTGTCCCTTTCTATAAATGTCATATTGGTAGAAAAGTAAGGTGCTTGGCATTGATCAGTCATTGATGTATGCGCCATGCAGTCCTTTCTACTACAATTCATAGAGGTCAAGGGAATTCATTTAATGAAATAATTAGCTTTACAATGTGATTTTCATGAGCCTATTAATATACAATGTTGGCGTCTTCTAATTCTGTCAAAGAAGTGTGCTATTAATCTGTTGAGCTCAGAGGGATTGTTAGCTTGATTTGCTCGGTCTCGAGATTGAACTACAGAGCCTTTGTGTATTCCAGAATACTCTATTCACTGCGGTACATGGACCGCTCATTAGCATTTAACACGTGGAAAAATTCATTTGGCGTTGTGTAATATATGAATAGACTTACGATATTCACAAATTATTCTGTAATAATCTTATGCGAAATGAAATATTCTTTTATGAACTACGGAAATTATGTATATTAGGAACACAGGACAGGATCGAGTATCTGAATAGCGACAGATTCTAATGCTTTAATGTTCTCATTTTAGACTCCTGTTGTGTTAAGTTATAGTTGTCCTTCATCACGGGCATGGTGCTAGTTCAATTTCGCTCCGGGCCAACCAAGCATCTCATCCTTCCTGGGTCGGGACATTGCTACTGGACTTGTATAGGAAAAAATCACTTTCTGCAATCCACTTGGGAACGGTCCAACCCTGCTATCTCAGGACTCCAAGGAGAATTGCTCGACTAGCATTCTAGGACATTCAAGATGAAATAAAAATCCTCAAGCAGCAACCGAAGCCACACGTTAAGTAGGAAGATCTTCGTGGACAATGGATGCAAGGAAACGAAGTGAATGTGAAAAGTGCTGAGGTCCGCACAGTTCAGACGTGAAGACGAGTCAAATAAATTTTAAAAAATATGGAACTCAAATAATAGTAAGTACTACGCACTCATTTTGAGGAATGCTACGCAGAAATACGGCACGTTTTCATTTCGAAGCCTTTCAAAAGTCATTTTCTACTAAGATATGAACTTCTTACTTACTTACCTGGAGAGGAACTTCGCGATAGTATGGCGGGTATCTCATTTCTCGACGAATTGGAACGTCACGTATTGTCCTCCGTTCTTGTCGTAGAGACTCCTCGTGCTCACGAGATATTTTCCTCAAGGAAATGTCATTAGTCTTGTTTAAGGCAACGTTGATAGTATTTTGGATTCTTCGTTAGACAACTGTAGAAGTTGTGAGAATGCCTTACCGATGTTGACAGCGCGGACTGTGATTTGAGGCAGTACGAGAGCTTCGTGTCATCGACACCGAACGAGAAGGTGGACCTGAAAATTGGTGTTATCATGACAGCTGGAGAACTCAGTAATACGAGTTGGACAAGTCTTGGAAACAGAAATGAACAACTGGATTCCAAGTACAACTGAAAGTGGCATTTTAATAATACAGTGGTGAAAAATCACAAAACCTAATTTCTTTTTACCACCTATTCCTATTCCATGGTGGTGTAGGATGTGAAGTACAAACACCAGGATGTTGACGTGTGAGCAAAATTCAGAGTTGAGGTTGCTTCGAACCCGCGATTACCGTTACAAGGCCCGTGCTTTTCCTTTCTCTCACCCATGTTCTTACAAATTAGAGAGGACAGGCAAGAAATAAGAGCTGAAACATTTTGGCTTCGATTGCAGCTTCAGCTTCACTGGGTCCAATTCCGATATGCAGTCGCCAGATCATGCCTGTTCACAGGTTATAACACCGATAGAGTAAAAATATCGGTGAGAAAAACGTAAAGCAAGATCGTCGATCGCTGTAGTAGATAGCAGATGAGCCTCTGGTAAAGGTAATCACGACTTCAAAGCCCATCTATTCTTCCTAGTTTTGCTTATGTCGGCATCCTTGGGGTTCTAACTCACAATGATAAGAGTTTAGTGAAAGCAAGGGGAATTCCTCTTCTATATCTTGCTGCTTAACTATACAAGAGAGCGTTTATGGACTGCTATTGGCATCAATGCTTCATCACTCATGACAAATCGTTCAATTTGTGTAGGCGTTCGGTGTTTTTGTTCAAATGCACGCACTGACTAAGTCTATTCGAAGGATTAACAAATCCTTTTCTGGTTTATGAAAACTGCAAACATTTTTAATTAATGACAAGTTGCTAATTGCACAAATACGCCTCGTAAACCGTAGGCAGGTAGCGCAGGTAGTGATGCCCGTTCGTCATAACCATAATGGTGGCTCGATTACGCTAAGCTTGAGGAGCCTCCCATCCCGTCGTGAGCGACAAACTGCTTCCAGAGTACTCTGAGCCACTACCTCCAATCCATATGGAGAAGGTCATAATACGGTTGTCCCTCTACCCTATGTAAAATCAAATGGGCCAACGTTCATCGATATTCACAGCGAAGACGATCGTCCTTATGAAGCAGCCTTACCCACACGCGAAATCTACTAAGAGCTTCGCGGAAAATGGATGCCAGAAAAGGAATTGAATGCAGGAATTAATTTGAAGCAGCACAGTGAATGTGAGGATGGAAATGTAAAATAGCCGTAAAATAATGTTCTTATACAAATCGTCCAATCAATACTTACCATACGTTGCTTTTTCGTATTTCTCAAAATCTGTGATATAGTCCGTATCCCTGGATGTTCTCACTGGTGATTCACGGAAATGTGGCGCTTCTCGCCTCTCCGACGTGGCTTTTGGTGACTCTGTAAATTCGGACTTTTCCTTTTGAATTCGCCTATACTCTTCTACGCTGCTGCGTTCTTCTCGTCTCTTCTCCACGAGGTCAGGAATAGATAGGCGCGAACTTTCTTTAGTCTCCCGACCTCGCAGCACGCTGTCCACCTGAATGTATAGAACGCAAGAGATTTTTGAGAAATGGAACGAGAACAACACTAACTGGTACTGAGAACCTTTTTGTTTGTGTCGATGATGTCCTCGTCGACAAAGTACGTCTGACGCGTTGGCACATGGCTGTCCTCTGGTGTCCTGCCCACAATTTCTCGCTCGTAGTATACTGTCCTGTCGAGTAACGGAGTTTGACCTTTTTCGTCCTTTCCACACTGAGAGCAGGCTCTCTCGGATCGCTCAACATCCGATGTTCTCTCGATCTCTACTTCTTCGCTAATGGTATCAGCAATAGGAGGTAGTGGTGGTCGATAGGAACAGACTTCAAAAGGAGTTGGCCTTGCGCTGTAAAAATTGCAATCCCGTATTGTAATGCTGTTTGTATTAATAACTTTCAGTAATGACACTAGTGCCGATAACAATATTATAGGAGGATTATATCCACTCTTTTGATTGAAGCATGCTGTGTAACGACACTACATTAATGAGGTGTTGGGGTTTGTAGAGAAGAAATAAAAAACTCAGGGCAAAGCAAGAAAAGATCGCTTAGCTGCGTCCGGAACTTTGATAAAGATCGTGTAGGTGGTCGTCCTAGGGAACGTTTGCATCTTCGTGGAGTCCACTCTGCTCCTCTCTTCGTCTGTCGTCTGCTCGTCTCACTATAAAACCGAGTCAGGCATTCGCAACTGGTGTGTATTCTTCTGGGTCTCGAAAATGAGATAGATTTCGAAGATTAGAGCTTCGATTTCGTGCTATATGCTGTGTTTGTCGGTTATATTTCAGAAGATACTGTTTAAGTGCTCTGTGTGTGGCGTGCAGTATTCTTGACTTGGTTGAGGCATCACCTCACGTCTCTGCTACATAAAAGAGTCGGATGACTGTTGAGTGGAGAAGGTGAGCGCGAAGTTTCGGGTCCGTTAGTTGGTCGGTGGCTTCTTCAAGTGGCTCAAATGCAACCCATGCAGCTCTCCTTCTTCTGTCTAATTTTTCATTACTACTGCTCCCCATGCTCTTTGGAGGTTCAGGGTGAGAAGTGGTTTCTGTAACCAGAGAACCGCACAGTTCGATTTGTTCGCCTTCACATCATAGATTTTCCATGGACTGCGTCTTGTTCGAATTTGTGTGCAGCTCGGTCTCTTCTTTTGCTTCGGAAACCTCATCGGTCATCGCCTCTGCTTCGTTGGTGCGTTTTGAGAAGATAGCAATGTTGTCGGCGAAGCAAAAATTTGATAGTGATTTTCCATCAATACGTATGTCTTTCTCATCTCAATGGAGTGAGTTCGTTATCCACTGGATGCGCCAGTAAATTGCGACAGCTTTTGCGACATGGGGTCGCCGTATCGAACCGCTTTTTTATACGGGTGTGGCAAGAGGTCGATGGAAAACTGTATTACATGAGGCGCGAGGTACATGTGAATTGTGGCTTCCGGTTCTAAGGAAGACTGCGGTAATATTATCGGATCCTAGAGCTGCGCCTTACTTCAAGCTTTCTACCGCCATTCGAACCTCAAAGGGAAGAATTCTATATGGCTTTCTCCAACGTGGATTTTAAGGTCTGGAAAGGAGACTGTGGAACGGGAAAAAGTTTGGTGTGAAACTTATCCGTTACTGATTTCATATTACGGGGAAAGCGCTTAGTTATCCCATTTTCATTCATCAGGGTTGACAACGGGAAACTGTACTGGCGCAGCTGCTGACGGTATTTTTTCACAGTTTCTTTTTTGTGCCGCTTCTAACAGTTTCTTCTTCTAATAGAGATCTTGATCATCCTGTAAAGTTTTTCTATAGTTGGAATTTACTATTAGCCGTGTTAAGCATGTTGTAATAAGATCAGGATTCAATTTCTTTCTCTTCTCGAACAACACTTAGTGGTAATGGAGATGCGATCTGATCTTTTTGCTTGACGTTCAGAATGTTTTTGTCACATGTAGCTGGACTTTTTCTTCTAAGTAGATAACACGAATTCCTTCCCAGCTCAAAACTGAATCGAATCTTTGCGCAAACAAAGAGGTGACCAGACTCAGTACAGAATGATGGGACTACCGATGTGCCTACTAGGCACCATCTTCTGTTTGTCGGAATATGGTCAACCTTTGTATGAGTTGTGCCGTTAGGAAACTCCCATGGCCAGCAGCGACTTTCTTTTTTTCGGAAAATTGGATCTCAATGGAAGAAGTATGCTGCCGACAAGAGTCCTGCATGACCGATTCCATTTGCATTTTCTTAATCCAAGTTTTCCTATCCTATATTAGCTTTCGTTAGCCTTTCCTATTTTGATGTTGAAGTTTCCGACAACAAATTGCGACGTGCATTGTGGATAACGTTCTCCAGCTGATAGTAGAACGCATCTAATTCGTACTTATCAGATGCATCGGTCGATGAGTAGCCACTCATGATAGTGATCTTCTTATGATGCGATGGTTGATGGTGGAGGATGCCAGGAGAAGTATCCGTACCAGTCGACATGGTGGATAGTGGATCGGTGGAAGTCAACGTCTGCACCATCGACATTTGGCGACGGTGCCAGTCCTCCGCGGATGACAAAGGTCACGTTGTATAGTTGGCATATATCGTCCTTACACTTTTTGTTTCTTATAAGGGGATCACATGGAATTAAATGCGAGCTTCAAGAAGGACGTGAAGTATGGCTTCTGACGAGACTCTTCTGGCATTTGCAGAATAGGAGAGAACCTCTATGGCGTGTCGTTGGTGTGTTCGTCGGACCTGCTTTCAGTGACATTCTGCGTAACCTAAGGCTTTGTGGCCTTCCAAAACTCTTCTCACCTGATATTACAGACAGGATCGTCTAGGATGTGAGGTACTGAGCCCGACCTATTGCTGGTTGGGCAAGTTGGTCTTACCTGAAGATCTTACTAAACCTTGCAATGGCGTTTCCAGATCGTCACTACTATGTGGATCCCAAAAATCTATTTTTATATGTAGTAATAGATTTTAGCAAATACGTGCACATATGTGTACCCAGTGTACGTGCAGCGGTATGGCGCCTGTGATCTACGCGTAGCTGTTTGCTATTTCCCGCATCTCGGGCCCGCTATGCTTTCCATCCACGCGGAGTCATTGATTTCGTAGTTGTCTGGGAAGGTAGGAGCACTGATCTGGTCCATCGCTGAACCACCGTGATTCTTTCTATAGGCCAGATAAGCATTCAACCGCCTCTAGCGATCATCAATGAAGTCGAATGCATGGCGCATCCCTCAGTGATATATCAGCGCTGAGCGCTTTACCCTTTATCCTTCTTATGTGTATATGGACTTGCTGGGTATTAATGGAAAGTGTTAACACAAGACTACTGCGGTGTGAGTTAAAAATAGGCGCTAACCTCTGTTAAACATCTCAAGTAAAAGGAAAGAAATACTACTCGAAAGTAATTCAAAATTATTAGCAAGTATCATTTTAGAGCCTTACATCGGATGGCTCTTGGTACTCAATCGCTCCGCCAAATCGCTTTGTTCCTCGAATTGGTACTGCAGCAATTAAAATTTGAGATACAGTTGAATTAGATGTACTAGTGTTCAGTACAAATAGATATGTGGCGTTAAAGTTCAAGCCCACCTTGGTTAGTGAAGTGGTTTCTATTTCTTTTGCAGGAGAAAGGCATTCTTCTACGATGACGTCCTGCTCCTCGGTACGTTTCTCATGCTGTACAGATACAATTAGCATAGCTTTGCGTCTGTTGTTATACGAAATGATTTTAGTAGGTGTCCTTTTCACTCCGGTGCTGCTTAATTTTCGTCTGAGAACAAACTCAGAAGTTAATCCTGATAAGAAAGTTTTCAAGAACACAACGGAGTTTGTGAATTTATTGGGCGATTATAGTAGGCGATTCTATTACAAAAGGCGCTGATATGCATGCTAACATTGAAATCTCCCATAAAATAACTTATTCATTTAAAGATTTTCTAAGATTTTCGTTTCTCTTATGCACTTTATTTTCCTTACAACTCTAGTTCGCTTTCAATTTCGAGAAAATGAACGTATGAGTACCGTATGAAAACAAATACCTTCGTAGACTTTTCGACAGTGTAGTAAACGGGTTCCTTTTCTTTTGGGCAGACATCCTGAAAATCACTCCTATATATGAGCATACTCTGGTCTTTAGATTAGATTGTGCTAGGAAGGCGTGTCGGACTTCCAGTGTTCAGAAAGTTGCTCATAATACGAAACTGTGACAAACAACAACTGTATTTTGAAGTAGAAACGACCAAAATGTACGAGCGTCTCATTTCCGCGCATCTTAATCACCTTGTGTACATTGTAAGTGATCCTATTTCAATCAACATTCCTGCTTTTCAACACTCTAGCGACGACGTCTAATTTTCAGCCTTTATGAACTTAGTGGTTTTTTGAAAATAAACTGCAATTTTTCGACAACTACAGCACTTCGTAGGTTGCGAGCATGAACTGATTATAGAAATGGCCTCAAAGAATTATTGGACTGCAGAAATTCCAAGGATCTAGAAATGCACCGCGGGGGGGAACACTTCGTCATCACGTGTGATATCACGTGGAAAAGGCTTTGCTCTGTCGTTCCATCAGTGTTAATGATATTTATGGTGCTATTTGCTATATGTTACTATGGCTCGTCGTACAAACACATAACTGCTGGCATTTGGAAGTGTTTTGCCACTTATGGGTCACCATATCAGTAATTTTTATACCAGCACACTATATACGATAACTACAGGAGCTAGAATTTAATCATTTTTGTATGTGAATACTTACTTGGATACTTGGATGGCCCGTCCTTCCTGGTTCTGCGTGCCCCAGCATAACCTCCGTTTTCTAGGAGATTTGCTGGTTTAGCCATTGTAGTTCCGTGGAATCACGAGGTCAGCCTGGCTAAAGTTTGCCTCCAGGTCGTCATCACCACAGGCAGTCGCAGCCGTTGTGGATCAGAGAAAGATTTGCCACTATGTGACTAATTTGATACCAGAACGGTGATGGTGATGTATTGGTTTACTCTTAGTTGGGTTTCTCGATGGAAATGCCGGACTCCTTCTCAGCTTGAGAGACTCTACTGCGAGATAAATCCCCTTGCGGTACATCGTAGCTCGATACCGAACTCCTCTCAGCCACGATGAGGCGATAAACCGGGGAGGTATATAAGCCATATCAAGCCTGCATATGAATGGAAAAATATATGTGTAGTTCATGTGTAATATTGAATTGTACAATTTGTGTATATTTCTATGTGCAGAATAGTGCTTTCCCCGACCATCGCCCACACGACATGTGTTCTGCAAGCTGTTAATTTCTAAGAAAAAATGTACCAAAAAACTTCTGTGTGTTAAAATAAACTGCCCGAAAAAACTGAAACTTGGAGATGTCATACCGGCCACTCCTGCAAGAACATTATGACACCCATTGGTGTCATTTATCGCGAGAGTGTTATTGACCTTTTTAGCAGTTAATGCGTTTCTCTTCAGAAGCTGCAGGCGTGCATAACGTGGAGCCCTTCCTAGTTTTGTGGATGACGGAATGTGTACTTCAGCATTTGCAAAGCGTCTTAAAACCTCACTTAAACTGACCAGAAGAATGTTAAGCAGTAGAATAGCGAAGGAAATGTCAATGTGAAGCGAAAATCTAGTCGGATCCATACGGCGTTCGAAATATCAAAAATGACTTTAGCTTCAATGGCATTGCTACATATCTTGAAATGGTTTATCATCGGTTCAGTCTATTGTCAATGAAGATCTCAGACTTCGAGGCTATCGTCCATGTAACGAATCACAATCACAATCAATCCCTGCAGCTAAGGAGTGCTGATGGATACAATTCAAGAAACTACTGAAAAAAGTTCAGTGTGGGCTACGCGAAACCTGTTGTATAGTCACATGTACCGATTTTAGTGTAAAGGAACCAACTGGAACTGAAGAACAAAACTGAGTTCGTTTTTATCGAAAAAAATCAATGAGAATGTCAAATTTGACGTCCATGTATACTAAGATATGTTTTTGATGGATAGATTCACATTTGGAAACAAAACCAGTTTAATTTGATCCTTCAGAGGATTGGATTTGAACATCTCTGCCCTAGAGCAAAGAACCATGAGAGGGCAACTGGATTGTATTTGGAAGTAGATCCACGAAATTTTTGATTTGGGCCGTTCTTGGACCACAACCTTTAAAAGGACTAAGCTGATTTGGATCAACTATACTATGCATAGGGCAGCATAGTGGTTGGTGATGCAGTCCGTTAAAAACAAGGCTTTGGTTCGACCCCCTCTCCAATGCTCTCCTCCAGCTCACATGAAAGGCCCTAGCTCGGCTATCTCCGAGGTTGGAAAGAGAATCGACTCGACCAGAGTTCTATGACATTTATAAGGAAGACGAAATCCTGAATCAGCAGCCAAAATAGAACGCAAATTGTTCGAAGAGCTTTGTGGACGATGAAAAGGAGAAAAACGAATCGAACGTCAGAAATACTGGTATCCGTACATCTCATGAGGGGTCCTATAATAAATAATAAAAATGTAAGCTGCGAATTCATCCTTGCAAGCACGTCCGAGCACGATGTGCAGAACCCACAATAACGGAGACAATGAAATAGTGGGGAGCAGAATTGAAGCAAAGACAAATTGAAAGAGCGACTGAAGTAGTCGAATCCAATGGAGAAGTCGATGATGTATTTACTAAGGGCAAGACGACAATGGGGATTCGTTATAGGAATAAAAGGATGAAGGATAAAGCTCTCGGCGTTGATCATTCCCTGAGGGAAGCGCCATGCATTCGACTTGATTAATTACCGTTGGAGGTGATTGAATGCATATCTGACCTTTACAACGGCTGGTGGTGGCCTACCGATGTATCGAGTCTGGTACCAATTTGCCGACTCCGGAGAGATGGAAGGCTTGGTAAGTCATGGACGCGGGGGGGGGGGGTAGATTCCACGTGTGTGTCGCAGCGCTGTTGTAGGAATAGTATCAAATTATATTTCTGGAATATTTCTGGAATTTCATCAACTTTATTTCTTGCGCTTTATTTTGTTTATGTTTTCGAAAGAATGAAACTAGAAGTATCTCATCAAAATAAATACCTTCTTAGTTTTTTCAACGGTGTAGTAGACTGGCTCCTTTCCTTTCGAACAAATATCCTGAAATTTACTGCTATCTAGAAATAATAAAGTTTGTAGACGAGGTTAAACTGGAAGTGCTTGACGCATTTCTAATATTCTCAATAGTTGAGATAATCGAAATCTCTAGGTGGGAAGTAAATGCTTCTCGTCTGCATGTGTCTAAGTTTCTTTTTGTACACATTAAGTCATCCAATTTTATACTTCTTTTCTAGGCTTTGTTGTAGTTTCTTCGGCGCTCTAGTGATTTTGTCCTTAGGAGCTATAAAAATGTGTCCACTTGGTGAAATATTCGTGCACCTTGCGAAGCAGCAATTCGAAAGAGATTAAAAGTCCATTGTAACGGTTGCAAACAGAAATGTACGAAATTGCTTGCAACTACTACCTAATGTGACGACGTGAAGGTAGCCTAGATCTGGTTTTGTGCCACTGTAGTAGTAAATGCTACGGATTGAAATTTCTCCACATAACCTGCAGAGAGTGTGGAATTTTCTGGTGAGAAATATGAAGTTTCATGAATGAGAACTATAGTAATTTTTCAAGAACATCGGAAATATTACATTTGTTTGCCATGGTTCTATGCGATATGTTGGGTAGAAGTTTAAAAAAGTAACTTACGCTGCTCGCATCAACATACTCTTCCATCCTGTATAAGGTGTAATCATCGTAAAGCGAATCTGGAGAGTGTTCTCTGAATTGAACCGGTTCGAGCAAAATGATCTCGCGCGGCGAATCCCGACGAGGTGAGACCGTCTCGAAAAGTTCTTCACCCGATCTTAAAACAGCACAGAGTTCCCACCGACCCTTTATAGAAGTAATGGACTCCATCCATCCATGTTCGGTGATATCAAGGTGCTTTGATGGATAACGGACAACGAGTTTCACTAGCGCTACCGTTCTACGCTGGTCAGTGCTCTTTTTTTCGTGAACGTCCGCACTTTCAATCTGACGTCTTCAAGTTTAACATGCAACAGGTCAAAGGCATAGAGGAAGCATGGTTGACTAGCACAATGCAGCATGTGATTCGTCGGTCAACGGCCGACATTAACTTGTTATTCGTTATTATTCTCACAGGTGAACAGAAATAACGTAAAGGTAGGTTTGATAAAGGGTAATAGAGAAATATTCCAGTGTGGACGGGGTGCATATTCGACCATATTAAATTGATTGCCTGCTTGTCCTATGCTGCGGGGCCTGCCAATGCATCGAGTTCGTATTTTTATTGTTCCAATTTAGTATACTGGCAATCTTCCTATTTTGGAGATATGGGTATTACTTTTTTGGGTTACGGGGCTAGGTCACAGAAACATTGGCGCATTGCAGGGCACCTCTAAACACTGCGTTACACGCGCTTAAATTTTGTCTTTCATCACCTTTTCTATATTTTTTCTTTTTGGGCTTAATTCTGTGCATCATATATTTTCCTGGAACGAAAACTCATTGAATCCTAGAACGTAAATTCACTTAGTGATATACTTACAAAAAGGGTAGGTAGCACCTGGTGTTCGTCACTCTCGTAACGACATCAAGAAACAAGGAGGAATGGGAAAAAATTCACCTCGGATGTCGTTTAACAAGTCGAATGATTTCCTTCGAGTCGTCGCTAGGTGGTCTGAATGTGACCATTTATACAAAATAATGAGCCTCTTAAAAGTAGTGCAATATTCACCTCTGTGTAGTTTTTCTCTTATAGATCTCCAACGACTCCTCTTCTTGCCAGGCACCTTCGGGTTTCGACGAATTTGCTGGCGAAACACGTCGAGCTAAAAGTGCACAAAACTTTTACTCAAACATTTCGTCTAAAGCTAAATCAAATATGTTCATATTTTAAAGAAAGGATATGAGGCGAGGCCCACTGGCTACCAGCAGCTCTGGTTTTACGCTTTATTTTTACGCTTCAATGATTGATGAGCAGCAGCAATAATTTTAACAGCTCTTCTCGCATTCGAACAATTCTCGCACACATTATCCACGATGGTCTTACAACTTTTTATGTGTGGCTTCGGCTTCCGCTTCAGGATTTTCCTTTCCACATGAATGTCGTTGAATACTTGTCGAGTCGATTCTCCCTTGTGTGCTCAAGTAGCCCGACTAGAGCGTTACCACACGGATTGTAGAGAGTAAACTCTTTATATATAAGTCCCGTACCAATTCCTCTACTTCGGAGAGATGAGAGGTTTGGTAAGCCTGGAACGTGATCGAACCAGCATTGTGCTCGTGATGATCGGCATCACTACCTCTGCGCTATCAACCCACTGTTTTAAACTTGTTACTATTAGATGAATTCTTATCAAGGAACACAATGGGTCGAATACGATTTGATGCAGCTGATTTCTTGCTTTTTTCCACAAGCAACAAAACACATTGAGCTCCAAATATCGCAGTGCAAAGTGCTGATCCGACTTAAACTCGATTCAAGCCATGTTCAGCTGCTTGTCAGTCCGGTGAGTGGTCAACGGACGTAATTGTACGAAGCAAAGCACTGTGAATTCAACATTCTTTGCTGATTCAACGATTTCATAAGGTTCAGGCGCAACTGGAGAATAGAATGATTCTCTTCTGGACTTTGGGATAGTGAACTTGCTGACGCGCTCAACGCGTTGTACAACTCACCTCTCAACTACAAGGGATTGGTAATCTACTGAAAGGGCAAGTGAATTTCATATGGGAAGAACAAACTCACGTTTTAAAGGACCTTGTGGCTTAACTGATTGCATACTGTCAGATGAAATTTGGATAAAATGTAAGGGGAAATGTCGCTCTTGTTGAAATTCTTCGGATGGAACACTTTGGAAGATTCTGAAGTGAAGGCAGTGGTTATTATCGGAAAAGAGTGTTAGGGAAAGGGCAGAATAGTAGCGTCTGCTCTGGAAGCCGTCTAGGAATCGCCGCTGTTAGATGACTCAATCGTCCGCGAATTTCCTCCCGACGTATGAAATTAAAACAAAACCCGAATACAAAAACATAAAAGCACATGAGTCGTACAGCTATGAATGTGCCTGTGCAAATGGTTCTCGTCTTGTACACATGAAATACTACGAATCCTACAAAATGCTGACTTTCTTTCCAGCTATTAGGGAAACCTTCGTTTAGGTGGCGCGAAAGCGCGTTCCTATAGGATCAACGAAAGTAATCAGTAGTCAAGAAGTTCTGCAGGGGGAAAAATACCACAACAACAAAATTTCTAGACTCAAAAAAAAACCTAAGAACGGTCAGATTGTTAAGGTGCAATATATATGTTCTATAAAGCTTACAATAACTTCCGGTGGCTTCCAAAGGTATTGAAAGAAAACCCACTGCCGTTTTGTTTCGCCTATTTCTGGTAAACGTAGGTATCACAGTAATCAGTGAGGGCTAGTACTTTCGCTGCTGGGTGGAAACAATTTTTATTAACGACGCCAAATTTTTGAATCCTCCATGTCTTTTTCTCTATGAACTCAAAAGGCGTCAACCGTACTAGGAAATTTCCGCCAATAAATATCCATTCCAAAGAACTTTTGGAAAGAACAAAAAGTATCATTTGCCTTTTGGTCAGTTGTAGGATCAAGGAGATTCACTACTGCTCAACGAAAGCCTTAGATTTTGTAAGCTTTATTATTTAGTGTGCGTGGAGCGCAGTGGTTAAAAGTGCTCTACAATGCATAACACAGAGGCATGGTCTTTGGTTCATTGCCACACTCTGTCAGGTGTCAAGCAATTGCAGGTAAACTTGTCCGCGACAGAACAAAGACTTGATGCATCGATACGGCTCCTCAATCACTGTGTAAGCAAATATGCCAAGTATGCGTTTAATCAACTCTACTTTTCTTAATCAAGATGCATCGGCAAAGAATTGAATTAACAACGAAAGATTTATCTCCTATCTATTTCATTTAATTGATTTGACGTTGTCTTCTATACCCATCACGGGTACCCTCCTACTAGTTTCAAGTTTGACGACGACCTGGAATTGAGATTTTCCTTTTCATTTTGACTCACCGATGTCAAAGCCATCTGATCTGTCATTGAAACTTTGGTAAATTTCGACGTCTTGCGAATTCAAATATTTGCTAGGAAACTCAGCAATCACCGTGTTGACTCTTTCAGCTGTGTGTATAAAAAGGTCATGAAGTTCACGCAAACGTGATAGGGTTATTTCAGCGCCACCATTTCTTTGGATGACAACTAACTTGTTTGTTCTGTGAACCTGTACTGAAATGAGTCACTCAGTTAGTTTACTTCGGAATTCGAGAAAAACATAGGCGTGACCTCCCCACTCACTTTCAAAAGTGGAGAAACGATTCCCTCCTACACTTTCTCACACAGATGTCGTCTTCTCTTCGTATCTTTCTTTTCAATTCGATCCATGAATTAACAAAAGGCACATGAATAATAACAACTTTCTTTTTCTTAGATGAAACTACTTGCTGTCATTTTGCTGAGCGTTGTTGGCTCTTCTGATGCCTTGTTTGGTATTGGTAGGACGCAATCAGTAGCCGTTAAGGGTCGTCTACTGTGTAATGGAAACCCAGCTTCAAATGTCAAACTCAAACTCTACGAGAAGGAAGCCAGTCAGTAGATTTTCACTTGACTTGACTTTTTTTTCAAATAACTACAAGATTTTTAGCCTTTGACGTCAAAATGGCCGAAGGAAAAACAGATCGGAACGGTGAATTTCAGCTTTCGGGTTACAAGACTGAAATTTCAACAATTGACCCGAAACTAAACATTTATCATAAGTGCAACTACAACGGAGTGAGTTTGAAGCTTACTGAAAGTGGCTCATATTTCTAAAAAAAACTCTTTGATATCAGATGAAGGGTTAAAGAGATCATTTAATAGCAAACAAACTTAAAAGCATGCGATATTATTCTTATTATGTATGCTATCGTAGATCTGCAGCCCACTTTAGTAGAGTGGTGAGCACTCGATTCCTAACCAGGATAGCCAGGATGTTGCGTCTTTAGGACTTTTTTAAGCCTGTAGTTTCATATGTGCTTGCGCAGCCGGTGTTTGGTTCCGAGTTTGTTCCTTGGGAGTGAAATCTTTCAAACTTAGATCCCAGCAATGAGTATTTCTATGCTGTGGCAGAACGTAGGGAGGTGCCAGTGTTCACCAAAAACAGTAAAAAAGAGTATCGAATCAAAACTGTCACGCTTTTGTGTTCTTGAGCTAACTGAGCCAACCAAAGGAGTTCCATCATTCTCCAGTCGCCGTATTATTGGGATGCAACCTATTGAAATGAATGATGATAGCAACAGCATTAATAAAAATACCTACTTACTTGGATCCTTAGATTGCCTGTTCTCACTGATTATGCGGCACCTAGCATAACTTCCAATTTTTCGGAGTTTTGTTGGTTTAGCCATTGTGGTGTCATGGAGTACCGCGGTCGGCCTGGCCAAAGCTGCCCCAGGTCTTCACCACGACAGGTAGTCGTAGCCCTTGTGGATCAGAGGGAGATTTATGATTTATCATACGACTTTGATACCAAGACGGTGGTGGATCCTGGTATAGGTTTACTCTTAGCTGCGCTTCCTGGTGGAAACGTCGGACTTCCACTAGCTTGGGAGAGCCTATGGGGGTGTGAACCGCCCGGTGTACATCGCAGCCCGACGCTCAGGAACATTTCGCAGCAAAAACGAGGCGGTGAACTGTTGGAAGGATTAATAAGAAAAATAGTCATAATAGTAATACAACCGCATAATGATCAAATGGCGAAATAATCTTGAACATCACAGAGGCCGGACTGAATGAAGAACACTTTTTTATAAATCTTATTGAAAACGTTTTCTTGGTTTTTGTGCAGTCTTCTCTAGGACCGAGTAAAAAGACGAACTTACGTCGCAGGCCAGTGAAGATTTTAAAAATAGGCACCGGTTTTCGAGTTAGCTTCATATCTGAAGCATGAACTCGGATATCGTCCTTAAGGGTTCACGAAGGTCAACTAAGGTGTCCTCCTATTAACCCTAATAATCGAAGGCATCTAATCAAATGGTCGTAAGTTTAAAATTTTTCTAGTTGACAAGAACTACCAATTCCAGGGTTAGTGAGCTTAAAACCCCACTCGGCTTACTTCGATGCTGATAGTTATCATCACAAAAACATGAATAATTTTGAGCTGCTTGAGTTCTCAAATAATTTTTCAAAGTGAAGGTATTTATGCAAGCGGCTAAAATAATGACCCAAAAATTATGGGTATAGAGGATACTGGAGATGATATGTCTTTGTTCGGTTACTGAAGTATGAAGAAGTCGTGGAGAAAATTTGGAACATTGAGTTCATGCAGAAAACAAGAGAATTTTAATATTGCGAGGTCTCTCGCCCATCCACAATCTTGTGGATAATAAGAAATGTTTTTTTTTCATTTCAGATTTGCTATCGAAAATTTGGCATCACCATTCCGGACAACTTCATCAGCGACGGTCGGAATCCACAAAAAACCTTCGACATCGGCGTTATCAATCTCGCAAATCGATTCAGCGGTGAATCCACCGACTGTATAAACTAATTGTATAAAGTCTTAAGTTAATACTATTAAACCCTGTTTGCAGCGCAAATAAATGTTGAAAGTCTTCTGCACAATTTTTAAAATTAGAAAACTGGTTTGGGTCGCACAATGACTTCTTCCGCCACACAGTGCGTTTCCACGAAGCAATGAAAACAACCACAATTTCTTTAGCAAAAGCCCATCGAATTCATTTGGCATGGCATCCGCTATGAATCCGATTACGTTGACGAATCTCTGAGGTTCGCCATGAAGAGTGTGTCGATCGTTAAACAGGAATAATAAGGCTACACTTGGAGATGACATCGTCTTAGGAAAGTCGAAGAATTGAAGTTGATGGAATTGAAGAATTTTCAACGGCTTATTTTACATTGGTTTATACAGTTGTTTTAATCCCACACTTTTTCCACTTAGCCCATATCCTGTATTCATCCTCATCCTTCTGATTTACGCATCGGTTCGGCTGACAAAGGAGAGGACAAACTTTTTTAGAAATATCATTGATTTTTGAACACGTTTATTAGGTCTATAACCCTAACGGAGCGTTCCCATTTGTTGACGATAAGCAGTTTTCGGCCTTTGTGGAACTGAACGACCTTTCCCCAAGCAAGTCTGGTGCCAATTCGCCTCCCCCAGAGGCTTAAAGGATTGCTTTGTTCAGGGTCGTGTCAAACCGAGGGATGAGTGTGTGGGAGGGCATCATTAACTCCAGCTAACTGGGACTCCAATATTCCATGTGCTTCATAGCATATTTCATTGCTATTGGTGTTAATGCTTAACTAGTGCGGGTAGATGGTTTTGCCCAGAAAGCATGGTTTCACATGGTGTATTAGGGACATTTTTGTTACCCGCGGTGGGGACAAGAGTGTCAACAAGCTAGGATCTGATAAGCAACAAGGAACGTTATTCTATTGCATGTGGCATGTGAACGGTGGAAGATGGTTACGCGTCAACAGTAGCGGAGTAACGACTGGTCCAGCACTACAGAAGGTGAGTTTCGTCGAAGAATACGTCCATTGTCAAACAAATGCTGTAGAATTTAAAATTATTGTTGGTGAAAGCGACGATTTTAAATAATATTTTTAAAATACCGTCTTTTCAGCCTTTCCGACTACTGATTTTTGAATAAAGCGCATAACAAGAAATATATTTTGGTATCTGTTTATTTCTAATCAATATTTATAGTTTTGTTGCATAGCGGTAGAGATGTGGTCTAACAAGCGTCTGAGTACTGTTCCACACCGCTGCAAACCTACCAAACCCGCTTTCTCCGGGGTAGGGAAATTGGTACCAAACTTATCTGTGAAGCTTCTTCCAACCCACGCGTTAATGCCGTGACATGGCTATTCCAGGGAGAAGCGACTTGACCACAATTCGACGATTTTCTGTGGAAGACCAGAAATCCTCAAGCAGAAATCCACACGCAAATCCGAAGAGGCCCGTGTATGACGGATTCAGTGCAACAAACCGAATACAGGATGTTCAACTGTGCTAGTAGCTCGAAATGAGTATTCTGCGCACATACCATTTTGTTTAGCATTTTGCCGACTTCAAAGTGGTTGAAGGATTGGTTGGCCCTTTCTTGAATTGAACTCACTATCACTGCGCTACTGCGCTACATACACTCCTTGGCTTAATAGTAAAACATATAAATTTATCTATTAGCAGCTTTCATCTATTAGTTTCTATAGCGACTATACGATTTACACTTAGAATTCTCCACGAGCAATATCTTTGACTACTAAAAGTCTTTTAAGTACTTAGGTTGTACTGTAAACGAGAGACCGTAGGAAGGATCATTCCATCGATCGGGCGACCTTCGGGAAACGATGACGTTCACCGAATTGAATAAAGTTCATCGTCTATTAGCAGAAGAAGCGGAACACCTAGTATCTATAAGAATTCGTTTTTCGAACGACCATTCAAATTTACGACAGACTCTTCATCCATCCGAAGTGCCGAAAAAGCCGACCATTAGTTAATGTAAACTTTGCTGCTTACCCAAATCTTTCTTCAACAGAAGTTTCAAGAAAATAGTTCGAGCATCTCGTCGTGACGTCCTTCGATTTTGGGACGTCGGTATGACTTCGCTGATCTTTGGTATATCTTTCTGATTCTTTAATTCTGTTCAGTTCAAAAGAGGATAACTTGGGCGTTTTAATAGCTCCAATAGTTAAGGGAATAGGTTAGTCATAGAGATTGGTGAAGTTTTTCGATGACTGTGAGTGTAAATGGTAGGACCTGTTTGCTATTAACATCGACACTGATCGTTAATCTCTTGTATTTTTCGCAATTCGTCACCAAATTCCCGAACCATAACACCTGCGCGATTCGTAAATGATAACTTGGGCGCGTGTGGCGCAGTGGTCGGAGGCGCCTTGCTACACACGTGGGATCGATCCCCACGATCCAAGCCCACCAAGCCCTCAAATCGGGGTCGGCGAATTCCTACCAGACTTGTCAGGGAGGACAGTAACACTGGCTCGGTACATCGGTAGGCCACCGCGAGCCATTATAAAGGCCAGATATTCAGTCTGATGCACGCCGAGAGCTTCACCCTTTTTAATTTGGCCTATTTCGCGCCTAGATTTTGTAAAGGTCATATCACTGAAATGCTGGCCATTCAGTCAAACTCTACCGAGGCTTCGAAGGTAATGCTTCACATTCTGATGATTTCCACTTTATTCTAAATCCTATCAGAGTGTAAATGCAGTGTGTTAGTCATCCATTTTGCGGCTTAAGTGCAACCACAACGCGAAGTGTCCACACTGGATGACTAACATCTGCCTACTGCATGGAAATGTGAAGAAATCATCTTACGGTATGGAACAAATTAATGTGATAGACAAATTAACTATCGATCGATCCAGGTCGACAGTATTCACTCTACCAATTTAAGCACTACAATTATCGTATGTTTTATGATGATGGTAATCAAATTGACGACAACCAATCGCAAAAAATCCTCAACTCCAATTTCAGGAGTGGTAACGTTGAGCTCTACAGAAGTGAGCAAAGTTCCAATGAACAAATTAAAGTTTTAGCACCACCATGAGTGTCATGAGTCGTATTGCTATTAAAAGGACAAAAAGATGAAGCTCTCAGAGTTGATTAACCCCTGAGTGATGAGTCATGAATTCGACTTGATTAAGTATCGTTGGAAGTGATTGAATGCATACATAGCCGGGTTTTACAATAACTCGCGGTGGGCTACCGATTTATCGAGCTAGTGCTGCTATCCTCCCAGACATTTCCGGTACCAATTTGCAGACTCCGAAGGGATGTAAGCCTTGGTTGGCCTTGGGCGCACGTATCGATTCAACTTGTCACCGCGGTGGGGCCTCAAACCTCTGCGCCACACGTGCCCTTGCTATTACCATATCAAAAATAAAAATGGAATGGAATACAATCAAGGCTGAAAGGATACCTTCTTTGTTTCCTACACTTTTTTCTACAACGATTCTGAGTAATTAGTAATTAGATTGTAATTAGATTGTTCCCGTTTGTCACTTTTTGCGTTATTATTTTAGTCATTCTTTTCCACTCTCTCTTTTCATCCGTTCATATGCTGTGCGTGCCGTTGGAAGCACGTTTCTCGTAGTATGTGCTTGAGCGTCCAAAAACGAAATACAATTGGTATTTTACATACACTTCTTTAAAAAAACTTTCTAGATAGCTCCAAACTATTGGGCACACTTGTCTGTTCCCTTTGCTATTCAAAGTCTGATGAAATCCAAGAAACTGATTGGTTAAAAGATGAAGAGTTACCGTATCAATAGGGATGTTTCTACGTTGATTATCACAGAACGTATTCGAAAACTTCAACACCTGCCACTTCTAGGAAAAATTTCATTGAAGGACAACCGAAGGAAAACTTGGTGGCAACTTTCATCACGAAAAAATAGAAAAGAAGAAAAATAAAAGAAAATCAAAGATATATTAAATAGGGATTTTTACACAGCTGGACTTTTTCTTAGCAGGTTTCACACACTATGAAACAATTAGCAGTGATGCCACGCCCTAATTTTTGCGGTCGACCTTCACAGAATCCTTTTTCTTTTGAAATGAAAATTATGACATCGCAAAACAACGGAAGTTCAGCGCCAGAGTAGTCCTTCAGCTAACAGACGTCTGTGGCTCTACGACTGTCTGTTTGATAGATAGATATGGTGGGTTGAGTACTCGTTCACAATATCGGCTCAATATCAAGATATATCATCTATAATATGTCATTTTTAATGACTTTCTATTCATCTCCCCTTCTGAAGCGACATTTCGAAATAAATAATTTAAGCAAAATAAGAAAAGCATTGAAGTGGCGAAAGGAGTGGTTCTAGCCCTACGTGGGCTTCTCGAACCACATAATCTACCATGTCTTAAATATTTATCTCGAAATAATATGTGATGGGGTGGTATAAACCCCTTGTTAATTTCTAGATATCGTAGCCGTGTTGCCAACCTTCGTAGAGCCCATAGCATAGCTGCACATGAGGTTTCTTGCTTTTGAAGAACAGCCTAGGGTGTTAGTATATGAGCAAATTGCACATTTTGCAGCTTAGGAAAACGCTTCACTCCACTAGATGCTATATAGAATAAGCCAACGTTTTCTTGAGAGCCACACACGATGTTGTTATTATAGTGTACTATTAAGAATAGTGGCTAACCATTCGGCGTATTTCGCGTCTTCCAAAGCCTGAAAAGAGGAAGTTGACTGCAATATAGTCAGCCAAATACTTTTATATCCTCAATCGAGGAACCATGAAGCTTAAATTTCAATCGCATTGAAAGAAACCAGCTTTTTCACAAACTCACCATTTCCTATGGGTCTTCTACTGTTTCTTCCACGTGGAGAAAACAGCATAGAGTTCACATGAATGGATGGCTCACCCTTTCGCATTAAGCTATGACCTTGAAATAATGTGTAAGGTCACGCTTAATAATAAGTCAATCCTCCCTGCACTTCATTGCCAATTCTTGGAATTTATTCACAACCCTTCTAGAAT